AGAGGGGACAAATAATAAGGAAGTTGATAAAGTTTCCCCTAACACAGCAACTCAAAAAACTTTTTAAGGGAGTCTGGGGCGCTTTAGCTGCCACCTCACGCAACTGTATAAAACTGTCTGTTCTCTAATCTTGTGCACTCTGCAGCAACATGTTCTCCAGATGTACAGTGCATCTGGAAATTGCAAATTTGCATCGTTTTTTACTTTTCATAAATTTGCAAAGATTTCAAATCAACTTCTTTCACGTTGTCATTATGGGGTATTGTTTGGAGAATTTTGAGAAAAATCATGAATTTCATGAATTACGGAAAAAGGCTGTAACATAGCAAAATGTGGGAAAAGTGAAGTGCTGAATACTTTCACTCATGACTCTGTAAACATTGCCATGAGTGATGCATCGTTTTATTATTGTAAAGTTAGGAGCTGGGCACATCTGGAATGTAAACAGGACAGTGTTTATGATAATTAGTTGCTACTTGTTAATTGATAAATACAATCTATTACGTGTATATTTTTGGAAGCATTATTACTTTACAGCATTTATTCCACACCTTCCTTAAACAGTACTGTATCTATTTTAAGGCGAGACACGGCAAGCAAAAACCTAAATTTTATCATGCATTGGTCTATTTTGAGATTTTGGTCTATTTTGCTTTCATAAGTTTATTTTAGACTACTGGAAAGAAAATGTCCAAAGTACACATTTAGTTTTTTATTTTACTTCTTCTTTTACTACGTTTGTCAACTTGTCTGTAGATTTATCCTGAATTTACCAAAAGTTATCATTCTAACGCAACATGCCCTACCGTGTTTTACTTCTACATCTATTGCTGTCTGCACCATATCATCCTTTATTGTTGTAAAGCTCTCTCTCTGCTGCACGATGTTATCAGATTCAAATATGGTAATTTCCTTTGTACAAGCAGCCAATCATGAAAGTACAAAGGGGGATTTAGCGAAAGTGCGAAATCCTTTTAGCAAGTGTTGATTTCTGACAGTGTGATGTTTAGATGCATCACGAGGCACATGACACTTCCTGATTTAGCTTTTGGTGGGATCTTTACAAAATAACCATGCCAAAAGAAATGGGTCTCCAATAAAAGACAACTATAGTTGTCAATTGCAGTTCCACAGTTTTATGAAGTGCATCGAGCATAAACTGTCATTCGGAAAGCACTTTGTGTGGAGTGTTTAGTGTTAGATAGCGAGACACACAGCAGTGGCTGATAGTTCATGTAGTGTGTTTGAATGAATTGATCAGTGGATTAATTTGTCCTTATTGCGCAGGCACAGGGCTTAAAACGAACATCGATCCACAAAATCATGGGTTCTGCAGCAGTTAGCTTCTTGAGTGCACTCTCTGCGAAAGAGATGGGTATGAGAAAAGTGTTTACATCTATGCGTCTTTAAATGGAACCAGGAATGATCTTAAGTTTGATGTAAATGTGCAAATAATACTCTTAGGCTACAGACAAAACATGGACTACAGGCTAATTGTTAAAATACTGTCTCACACACACTTCAAAGCAACTTGGACAATAAGTAATCAGTTCTATTTATGTTCAAAAAGTATTCTGGAGTCTCAGCCTACCACTAGGGGCTGCAACAATATAATTAATCCTGGTAGAGTTATTAGTGTCAGCATCTCTTGTTTCCAGTTTCCAATTTCCATCAGTGTGTGCATTGACCTCCTTACAGGACTGCTGATGGAACTTTGCACGATCTAGTAAGGCAGTGGCGCAGGAGTCAGCAAAGATAACATGGGCCAGGTCTGTGAATTGCCACCAGGTGTGGTACACGGAGATGCTGTCAGATTAGGATAGTGCAGCATTTAGGGAGGTGGCTGCACTGCATCCATACCCAGGCCATGAAATATTTAAACTAGAGTGTATTAATCATCACTTTCAGTTCTCTCATTTCAATTTCAATCCACAAGATTCACTTTCAAGGTCAAATACACTTCAAGGTCCTTCAGGAAGAGAAATCAAGTACTGATCAAGCATGTATTCTTTCCATTTCCTAGCAGGGGGCAACTCCACTGCAAGAAGAAGCTAGGTTCCATCAGAAATAATTCCCACCTGATTTATTACCTAAGTAACACTTTCCTGATGAGTTAATGAATCCAATTGTCCTTTTCAAGTCAGTATCATGTTCATTTAGTAAATTTTGGTCCCATTTTGGCACCATTCTCAGGTTTGGACAAAGATAATGATATAAGAACATCTGTACACATAAAGGTATAAATTTTCTTGTAAACAAACAAAACACATGTTTACGTTCAATGTTATTCACCAAAACTCATTGTGTTTATCCTTAAGCTCTAACAAATGTTTTGACTGCATGGCCTTCCTCATAGAACTGGCAAAGCCAATTTTTGAACATTTTTAACAGTGTTCTTTCAAAGTGAATAGGCACAAACATTGGTTACGTTATTACATATTGTGAGCCAGGTTCAGGTGTGAAGAAGTTTCGGAGACTGATGAAGACCCCTATTAAGAATTTACAAAAACTTAAACACACATTGACACATTCAACATCAAATCATATAAAGACATACATTCAATAAACACTGCTACTGCATCAAAACTATCCACACTTCTTATTTTTATTTTTCAGAGGTTGGCGATTTGACGACTTGGGAGTCAAAATTAACCGAGAAATAAGCCCCTCATGCCGTGTTTACCACAGAACATCTTCCCAAAGAGTTAACCTCACAGTACGGTTTGCAACTGTGTTGGGTACAGCCCGAAGCTAACCCAGAAATAACCACCCTCTTGGTGGGCTGAGACGGTTGAACACCACGCAGTCTTGAAGTCTCAAACCTACTGACCAACCAATGCCCTTCATGGACTTTATAAATCAGATTCATAGAGTTTAGACCTGTTGTGCTCACTGGATTACTTATTTTAGTTTTAAATTTGAACATTCATTAAATGACACATTTTTCCCGTGCACTGCTTACAGAGAGATCAGCCAGGACTCCGTTCTCAGACCTGAGTCCTCATTTAACAATAGCTCAGCTTAGTTCACAGCCGAATGATTAAAATCTACACACTTTTGTTTGATCTCGTCAAACAGAACAACATGGTAAGGCCAAAATAAAATAAATTTGCACTTACCAGTTGTTGTTTTGTTGAGATCCTGTTTGTGACGCCAATTGATGAAGAAACATTGTGAGCCAGGTTCAGGTGTGAAGAAATTACGAAGACTGATTAAGATTTAACATAGCATGGTTTATTGAGCCAAGGAGAATACAGTACCAGCATACAACATGTGAACACGTCAAATGCCAACACCAAATTTGAAGGAAAACATCTTTTGGTTCCTTTTATATCTCTGTCGTCCCCCTAGTGCCTGTAGGTTTCCCTATTAGGTCATCTTTAGCTGGCCTTAACCTAGAACCTGTCGTCTCCCCAACAACGACAGTTTATATGTGAGAAATGACTAAAGCTGGAAAGTCAGTAAACACTTGTGGGGTCAGCTAATGTTCCCTGTTACACCTAAGAAAATTCTTTAACAGTATAAGTATAGGTGCAGCCCTCTAAAGCTTGATTTATACTCCTGTGTAGGGTCTACGTTCGTAGCTATGCCGTTACACCGCCAAACGCTAGTTGGCGGTAGTGCTACAGCGTCCACTGTGTTGACTCAGCTAACGTGAATGGGGGTAAGAGTGGTTGTAGTAGTGACTGCATAGGGTACGGGGCTACACAGAGGCTACGCCGTCAATTTGACGCAGAAGTATAAATGCACTATGGCTATGGTTAGTTTGTTCATCCCTCCCCCAAGACGTACAGTCTACGCCCACCTACTACATGGACCCCACCTCGGTCTCACCTAGTGTATATAAGTGTATAAGTTGAGCTTTTTATTGAGTAAAAACATGTCCCATCTACCGTAGATCGTAAACGACTTTACAACAAATTTTAAAGTCTAATTTGACTAAATAAAAAAACTAGAAAATGCACTCAGGTTAGGTCTGCTACTTTTAAAATGTTTGTTCTGTGAATGGAATTCGGATCCATCAGGGCTAACATGCTAACTTGTTCACAGTAAAGTACGATGGCTGGAATCAAGTAACAGACACATATTTTCAGAACTTACCAGGTAGTTCAACTTCCTTACTTACTTTTCTCCAAGCAATGTCCGTTTTTTCCGTTATATAAATATGTAGTAGTGTCGCAGAGCTCTGGATGCCCACTGACACTAACAACAGTGAAACCAGAAACACATAGGAGCTCGCTGTTAAAAAATTTATTTAATAAAAGCAGTTAACTCTGAGCTCCTCCCGCCGGATACGATGCAGTTGTAGCAGCAAAATCCTGTCCAAAAGCTCAGGTGCTGTCTCCTCCACCGCTCTCCGTCACTCAGCAGCTGTCTGTCAGCTAGCAGAGACCCTCCACTCTGTCTGGTCCTCTCCAAACAAAGCTCTGAAGCCGTAGGTCACATCCAGACAATGAGTATTGATGCCAATAAAAGGCAGTATTGTATCATTTTTAATGTCAGGGTATTGCAATACCTTTCTAGTATCGGTATACCGTGCAACACTACTCCAGATCATTAAGGACCATAGTGATGCACAGCCTGGTGAAGGTTTTCATTTCTTTCACCTTCTTTCAACAGTTGCTGAATGAAGTTTCACTTCTGCTTTGATTAGCATTTGAATTTGTATCGGTCAGAAACGGCAAACTCTCCGAAATCCTCCCCCTTCTCCTTAAACATGTCTCTTACCAAAGGACCCTTGGCTAGCGGGTTAGCATTCACATCAAAATCTGGCTCTGAATCTTTTAATTCATTGTTTTTGTAGTAACTGCTGACACTGGCATAAATGTCCTTCAGTCACCCAGCTTATCAGCCATTATCACTGTCTGAAGCGCAGCTTTGGAAACTTTTTTTTTTCGTGGTCCACACAGAGGCTAAGAGGCTAAAAATAGCTGTGACAAAATGTCAGATAAAACCAGGCAGCATCACTCACTCCCATCTCCTCTTCATTCTGCTGTCAGTGTGGGATGGCCCTGCCCCTGGAGCCCGCAGTGAGGTTTTCATCAGCCAGATCCCACGGGACGCCTACGAGGATCTGTTGATTCCCCTGTTCAGCTCTGTGGGGCCCCTCTGGGAGTTCCGGCTAATGATGAACTTCAGCGGCCAAAACCGCGGCTTTGCCTACGCCAAATACGGCTCTCCAGCTGTAGCTACAGACGCCATCCGCCTGCTGCACGGTCACATGCTGCAACCCGGCTTCCGCCTCAGTGTCCGCCGCAGCACAGAGAAGAGACACCTCTGTGTGGGAGACCTGCCAGCTGCCACCAGGCAAGAGGACCTATTGCAGGTACAACCGCGCTGTGGCTTGTCTTTGTCATAGAAATGTTTTTTTTTTGAAAACTAATAAACTCACTGTAAAAGAAATACCAAAAATATCTTTGAATAATTCTATATATATATCTTGGCTTCAGGTTGCATTTTGTTGATTAGATTTGCCTGATTAGACTGTGTGTCCGTGTGAGTGAGTGTGATTGGCTAGCATAAACCTCACTGTTTTTTACTGCTGTAGTAGGGCTGGACGATATGGCCAAAAATGTTATCACGATAAAAAGTTTAATATCTTTTGATATCGCTAATTATCATGATAAGTATCAGATCATTATTTCTTTTGAATTTAAAGGCTGATTTCTGCTCCTGAGTGAAAGTTGAAGAAAACTGATGGTTAATTGACCCTTCGCTAAAGCCTGGCCCCCTTAGTTACTGTTGCTAAGTCTGACAAACTGTCAGTGCTGCCACTGTCTATTACTGCACTCCCCGGAGAAATATTGTCAAATTTGTTGGAAAAAGCGATCTTGGAAAGAAGCAGACAGTTTTGCAGGTGCATTATACATTTGAAGGTTGTATTCAGGCTGTCACACTGACTGAAACGGACGTGAAAAAAAAGCCTACCAATCACACAGTACAAGTGAACCACCGCATCCCCCGACAATTGAGACAAAAGGCAATGATATGAACGATCAACACTGTTCCTGTAAAGCTGGTAGGCCTCTATTCATTATTACAATCATTAAAAAGCAGAACAGTAGGACTTTATTACGTTCCATTCAGTAGGAAGTTAGCTAGCATTAGCTAGCATGCAGCCAAAAAAAGCTAGAAATGACTCTTTTTGTGTTAGTCTGTCAGTGGCATATCCGTACCGCCAGCAAGAGCCGTTCTTCACATGCTCAAAAGGGGTCTGTCTGTCAAAGAAGGCTACTGTAAATGTGCCTGTTCATAATTATTCGTGTGTTGTTTGTTCTCATCTCAGGGCATCAAATATTTGTTGCATTTTATGCAAAAGGTATGCTTCGGCGTCTGTATGAGACGTCTCTGGGATTAATCTGTAATTAGTGAATAAATCTCACCCCAATCTCACTGAAATTAAGTGCTATTATAATCACTAAATTAAAAATTAAATTGGCAAACTCTTCTATAAGCTTTAACAACATGTCTCACATAAAGCAAAACTAAATTGAAGTTTAATTTGGACTGAGTACATTGTTATTGGTACATGAAGTTTGGGGTGTGATCAACCAGAAGAACACACCAGTGTCTGTGTTGTATGTGCTGTGTGGTAAAACACATTGGGGGCTGTAGTGGTCCATAAAAGGTTTAATAAACCATTGCTTTTAGGTGAACCTTTGCTAGTGTTAGCTAACCTCACTGCCATAGAGAGATGAAGTCCTGACACTGCCTCCTGGCTAACATCTGTTTCGCCAACTTGTTACTATCCATATCCATGGCAAATAAGTAGCACTTGATAGGATTAATTTGTTGGCATACAGAACACACACTAGTTCCCATTAAGATTTACCAGCGGTGCAGAGTACATAACACTTCATTGTAACTTTTGGTTTGTCCCGAGCCTGTCATGCCACACTAACAACTGGTAGAGATCCAATGTACAGAGAAGTAAAAAGCACAAAGAAGTCCGAAGTAAAAGCTCTCAACATCTGCTCCCAGGTGCTGCGTGTTCTCACGGAGGGGGTGGAGAGAGTGTCTGTGAAGGCTGGACCTGGTATAGAGGGGGTGTCTGCTATAGTCGCCTTCTCATCCCACCATGCTGCTTCTATGGCCAAGAAGGTGCTGGTAGAAGGTGGGTGAGCTCCTGCTGATGGTGATGGACTGATACATGGGGTCTGTGTATCGTTCTATTTATATTGTTAAACTTTGATATGATGCAGGATAAATAAAGACATTTTTAATCTAGCCAGGTCATTTTCACAATGATCAAAAAAATTTCAATTTTATTAAGTTATTATTTCTGTAAGTGGATAACCTGTACAGCTACTCATAACTAATCCACACTGGATGCTATATTTTTGGGGAGTTTTTCTGTGGCAATTTTCCGGTAGCTAATTTTCTGGCTATGGCACAGAAACATTGCCTCTGTTAGTTTTGCCTTTAAACCTCTGATTGGTTGGTTGTTTCCAAACAGGGAAACGTCAATAGAGCTCAACAGTGAGGTTCCTGAGGTAAAAATCCCATTCATATTCATAATTTAGGAACCATCCGATGTAAACTTAGTACTAGCTACGAGACTGTGATACAGGTACATCTCAGAAAACTAGAATATAATTTTTTCTGTAATTCAAAAAGTGAAACTTTAATATATTGAAGATTCATTAATAGGGATGTGATGACATCTTGTACGACCAGATCTCCCGAGATTAAAATGTGACAAGATTTCTCGTCAGTCTAAAAGCAAATGACATTTTTTCACATGCTGTCAAGCCACACAATAATTTTCTTACACAGTGAAAACCAAATGTATAACTGATGAAGTCGACTCGCGGAGCAAATCAACTCCTTCCCGCTGGTGTGACAGCTCGCGGGTGAAGTGTCTCATCAAACCCCTATTCATTACACATAAAGCGTGGCATGGAGGTAGCCTGTGGCACTGCTGACGTGTTATGGAGGCCCAGGTTGCTGTAATAGCAGCCTTCAGCTCGTCTGTATTGGTCTGGTGCCTCTTAGTGTTCTCAACACCTTATGGATTCTGTGGGGTTCAGGTCTGGCCATTTGGCTACCCAACCAAGCACAGTAACACCATGGTCAGCAAACTAGTTCCTAGTGGTTTTGGCCCTGTGGGCAGGTGCTAAATCCTGCTGGAAAAGGAAATCAGTGTCTCCATAAAGCTTGTCAGCAGATGGAAGCTAGAAGTGCTCTAAAATCTCCCGGTAGACGATGCATTGACTTTGGACTGAAACACAGTGGACCAACACCAGCAGATGAGATGGCACCCCAAATCATCACTGACTGGAAGCTTCACTCTGGACTTCAAGCAACATGGATTCTGTGCCTCTCTACTCGTCCTCCAGACTCTGGGACCTTGCTTTCCAAATGAAATGCAAATTTTCTTTCATCTGAAAAAAGGACTTGGGACCACTGAGCAACGGTCCAGTTCTTTTTCTCCTTAGCCCAGGTAAGACACACGTCTTCTGGTTCAGGACTGGCTTGACACCAGGAATGTGACAGTTGTAGCTCAATTTGTGGACTCGTCTGTGCCCGGTGGCTCTTGATGCTCTTGAGTCCACTCCTTGGGAAGCTCCCCCAAGTTCTTGAATCAGCTTTGCTTGACAATCCTCTCAAGGCTGAGGTAATCTCTGTTGCTTGTGCACCTTTTCCTACCACCCTTTAACCTTCCAGTCAACTTTCCATGAATATGCTTTGATCCAGCACTCTGTGAGCAGCCAGCCATCCATGGAAATGTTTAAAACTACAATCTAGTCTCACAGTGGGAATCGAACCCAGGTCTCCTACACCAAAGGCATCTTATCTATGCGCCATCACCACCCCCTAAATGCCCTGTTTTTATTCAAGTGAAAGTTTATGGCGGGATTTGGCCATTGTGATATTGTAATTTTCATACTAAGATTGACCAGGGCGGGCGAGGCGAGGAGGCAGGACAGAGGGCCGTGGAGAGTTGAGGATATGGCGGGGCGGCTTCACGGGTGAAGGCAGAAAGCCTTATACATTTTAATTGTCTATTTTATTGTTGTTTTTTTTTAATGTGTTTCTTTTCTGCAAATTCTATGTGTCTCTGTTTTCTGTAAAGTGTACTGGGACCACACAGCTGGTGATTTTACACTTTAATAAACTTTTTTAAACCAGAAAAAATGTTTTATGATGTGCACTTGGTTCAAAAGACTTAAAACCGCACCGGTCCAAAGAATTTGCGTAACTTTCCAAAACAGAAAATTGGACGTTCACACTCTCTTCAGGCTATGATTGCTCAGCTGTGTGGAGGGGCCAGGTTTTAAACTTCTCTCTCTGTGCTCTTAATCCACTTTTTCCAATAATTTGTAGCTTTTCATGTTCCTATTGTATTGTGTCATATCTGTTGTTACCGACATTATATTTATATTTGTATAACACACTTCTGCCACTTTTGATTGGACACCACATCATACAGTTATTTTCTAGCATAACCTGACAATTTATTTATTTTTTATTCAAAATAATTGCAGCCATTCTCAACTTCTGTAGAAAATAGCTGTGGTCACTACTGAACTTCATTTTCTTTTTTTCCTCTAGCATTCAAGAAACAGTTTGCTTTGACCATCTCAGTCAAGTGGCAGTCTACATTGAAGCCGAGCCCAGAGGAGCCATTACCTCCAAAGAAACCTTCAGAAGGCTTTCTGCCTTCACCCGTGAAGCCGCCCCGCCATATCCTCAACTCTCCACGGCCCTCTGTCCTGCCTCCTCGCCTCGCCCGTCCTCCATCCGTCCCTCCGGGTTTCTGCCGAGCAGTGGGAGGACCCACTGCACCCCAGCACCCTCCCCCTTCCAGGTCCTCTACCACCTCCTATTCATCCCCTGTGATGCTCCTGCATAAGATGTGTGAGGTGACTGGGGTTGGCCAGCCGCTCTATGACATGTACTACAGCCACGCTGGGCCTGATGGATTCCTCTACTTTACCTATAAGGTGTGTATCCCTGGAATAACCACAGCCTTCAAAGGACTGGTTATGATCTTGCCGGGATCCACTGCCGCCACCACACTGGAGGAAGCTCAGCGGGCTGCAGCCCAGCAGGTCCTGCAGAGGGTGTACAATAACTAGCTGGCCCACTGAAAAGCTTATCAGATAGTACACGGTACACCTAATTCTACAGCACTGTTTCAGGCTCTGTTCGTAGTTTGTTGTTTCATGCATGCTTTTATTAGAGTAGTCTTAGACTTGTTTGTCTTGTTTAAACGTATGTGCTTTGTTTTATGCATGCTTTTATTATAATAGTAGTAGTAGACTTGTTTGTCTTGTTTAAATGTCTGTGCTTTGTTTCATGCATTGTGCGTTACTATCGGATTGGTTGCTCATTTTAAATAAATGAGGTTTGACAACAAACTGATTGTGTAGTGTCCTATAAATGTATGGATAATGGAAACGTTTAGAGAGATGACGTTTTAATTTCATTTGAAAGCGGTAGTAGTTGTAGCTTTTCTTTTTACTTTTAGCATGTACTGCAGCTGACCTTACAAATGCATACTGTTGTATGCAGTATGGATAAAACTGACACAGACTACTAAATCCTAACATTGCGCTTTGAACTTTGACCATTTGCTGAGTGCAAGTTGACTCAAGGGTTGACATACTTTAGACAAGATTTACTCTGAAAGAATGAATGAAATACACGGTGGTGAGTTGGCTGGTCCTCAGTTGTTTTACTTTTTTTCTTGTGTTAACTGCCAACTGAACTTAGTTGGAACAATACAAATGACAAAAATATAATACAAAAATCAGTTTGATATTTAAATCTCAATATATCAAAAAAACAGTAATGATATTTAAATCTCAATATATCCAAATACAGTAATAACCATACATTCCCTAAATATTTTCATTTAAAATTAATAAGATGACAGACTCACAATAAACACATAATAGGCTGTTATGTACAGAAGTAAGCTATTAAATTGATGAATTCTATATTGGATAATAAAAGTACTCATTCTCGATCATTCTGGTATCTAAATTTATAAAATTAAAATTCTTATCATTACTCGTATAAGGGCCCGTGTCCACCAAAGCGTCAGCGTCTATTTTCAGTTCATTGCAATGGGAGCGCCGCATTTTTCCAAGCTGGTAAAAACTCCAGGAGCGTTACGAGGTGCTGAGCGTTTTTTCCGCGCTGGGCGTTTTTTGTCCGGTCGCAGAGAGTTGAAAAATGTTCAACTTTGGGTAAAAACGCTGTGCTCATCACTGTCACTTTTTACCCAGCCGTCCAATCACAGTGCAGGAGGGGCGGGACAAACACCACACCGAGCTCATGCAATCTTGAACGAAACAATGTGCCTACCCACAGTGTATTTTTGAAAATGCATCTGGGGTGAATGTAAACAGCAGCCAACCAGATGATAATATGAAAGTTTAATCTTCACAATAAACAGTCTGACATTTGGGAAACATTTGGTTTGCCCCCTCCTCTCCTTATAGAGAACTTCATGCTCTCTGCTGTCATGTGTTGTTTTACCAATTAACACTGTTTTCCAGCTGTCATTCATTACAGTGTTGTTGATTTTCTATATTTTTACATTACTGGATAAGAAGTTCTCCATTACATTTCAACTTCAGTCTCACCGTATTTTTTAAAAAGTTATACATGCATAATTTGACACACAATTGTATGTCTTAAAAAATGAATACAAGAACAACATATGTAATGCTGTATCTTTCATTAATGCTTGGTTTCTTACATTAATCTTGATGTAGTGCTGCCTGTTTTCTGCTCATCATCTATCTGTGGCTTTTTTTTTTTTCGTAAAGCGTCTGTCGTCTTTTCCATCATCCACTATCTGACGCGTTTTTGTAAAGTCGTCTTTTCTGTTCAGCAAAAATTCCTTCAGCAAGTTCACTCAAAGCTCACACAGTCTGTAATAATCAGAGGTTGGAAGTTGACAATCAAACCCTTAATCTAAATAATTCAGTAATTAAACATGTAGTCTCAATCGGTAATTAAACATGTAGTCTTAATATCAGCAGACTAACACATCAACAGTCTCTCCTGTAGTCATAACAACAGTAGATAACGGCAGAACGAAGCATGCACTGTCACAGCAGATTTTGAACACCTGCAGCCTCTCCTGCAGTCAGTACTCCCACTCAGAGATCTAACCACAGTGAGCTTGTTTCTGTGTTCATGACTACAGTTCACCACTTATAAGTAAAGACAAGGCACATCTAGGTAAAAAGAAAATGATTAAGGATAATAAAATGATTAAGAATGATTATTTAAGAAAGATTAATACTGATTAAGGATAATCATGACTGTTTCTTGACTGATGTCTGTTTTTTGTCTGCACTGCCCCCCCCCCCTCTGTGTCTTAGGCATGCCCTCTGCTGATCATGCTATTTTAAACACAACCTGACTTTATGGAATGTCAGTGTCTTTTGTGCTCTGTGCTAGAGACAGGACATTCTTACTGTGATGGACTATATTGATGTATGTTTTGTAACACAATTTTTTACTAACTCTGCTTCTACATTTTCCTTTGCTGGTGTCTTGATGCTGCCTTGCTGTCTCACTGTGCTTCCACACTCTGCTCCCAAAGCACACGTGCACGTCTTACTGCTGAGCCTGGGCAGTTAGATACAAAAAGGAGCTGTAGGGTTTTAACACTGTGATCCTAACTTTACACTATAAAATAACACTTTAAATGAGGACAATGTAGACCACCATCGCTCTAATAATTAATGACAACAATTTAGGCTATGATACACAATAAGTACCCACCCAGCCACAGCCTGTTCACCCTGCTGCCTTCTAGGAAGAGATAAAGAACTTTCAGCTGTCTTACCACCAGACTGCAGCTTTTCCCCCCAAGCTATCAGACTGTTAAACTCTAATTCATCTGCAGAAAAAAACTTTTTGATATGTTTTGTCTGTGCTGAACTCGCCCCTGACCACCCGAGCACATGGCCCCAGAAACACTGCTTCAGCAGTGTCACATGAGAAATCTTTTCATTGGATGCTAAATTAATACAAAAAGTGCAGAATGAGTCATCAAGGTTTTAAAATGGTTTTCCAAATGACAAACTCTTAAATATCATCAAGAATACCTACAAAATAACTTTTATTGTCATTGACGGACCAGATACTGCCATAGTGGTGCAAAGCCAATCATATAAAACATTTAAACATGGATTGTGGGAATGGGAGATTTTGTTATTATGTTTCTCTAAAAACCCGCTGGGCAGACTGCGCATCATTCATACTGTCTTGCCTTCATTTGCCTATTTGGCACTGAAGTAATCCAAAAGTAACTAAAAGTAGTCAGGTTACATTACTTTTATTTTGTGGTACTTGGATTACCTTACTGATTACATTTTTAAACAAGTAATTAGTAATTGTACCGGATTACACTTTTAAAGTAACCCTCCCAACCCTGCTAGGCAATATATTCATAAAAGAGCAAGTTATTGAAATTATTCACTTGTAATGTGCCTAATGTGCAAGTATTTTATTAATTTATTTTCATGTTTATTTACAAACTCTCAGGTGTGAAATGTTTGAGGATAGTCACTAATTAAAACAGCAGTGGTTTGAGATTTTTATGTTTTATGTAAAAAGTTATTGAAGATTGAAACGGATGTGTTGCAATTTGCAGTCCCTAACTCCGCCTGTAGCGACAGGCGCGTTTGACAAATATTGCATTGCGCTCGACTGCTTCGTTATCTTTAGTGATTTTGTGGTAATCACAACTGTGAAACCCCTAGGTTGGGAACCACTGGACTAAAGAAGCAAACTGTATATAAAGTATTTAGAACAAGTTAACTGAATATAAAGTAGCTCCTACTTGAGCAGCTACAACAGTAACATGCTGCAGTATTAACAAGCTATAATGTCAAACAGAATCAGTCAGAGGAGACATTTTACTGTACAACTAGTACTTTTAGTGCCGATACTACTAACATACTTCTAAAAAAGTAGGAATTTGACCTTGTGGAGTATGTGAATACCTCTTCCACCGCTGTCTAACACTTGCTTGATACATTATAGCAATAATCATGCCTGCACTTATTATTAAACTTGTTGTGCATGATAATACAGGTTGAAAAATCTTCACATTATAGTACACAGTGTAACTGCAAAAAGTAAAATGTGTCATGATGTCCACCGTCGATTTCCAATCCCCAGCACTGCAAGTGTTCTCTTGGCCACAGAGGTAAGAACCTGCCTGGAAAACCTCTGCAGCACGCCATCCTGCAGGCCCTCACAGTTGTTGCATGGCCCCTACAGACTAGCAGAAGAGTTGTGCGACATCGTACCAAAATACCATAATTTGGGCTGTGGCCAAGAAAATCCAGTCAAGGATTTAATGTAAAGCCATTTAGTTTGAAAATATCTTGGAGGGGAAACAGCATAGGTTTTAAGATATGGATCTCTAAAATAAAAAAAACCCTACAGCAGTAACTGTAACTTGTCTTCAAAACCAAGCACACAAACAAGCTGATTTCATGACCGACACAGCAGCTGATCTTTGACCAAGATGATGAATGTGTTTATTTCAGACTTGACAGTACAGGTTTGATACAGGAAGAAATTAGCATGTTTGCAAGAGTTTCTATGAGATGATATATTGCAGTTCATGTCTAACAGAGTTTCTCATCCTTGGTCCTGGACAGATAAAGCATATCTTAAGGAACGCTGCTCTTTAAAGAGATTTCTTTTCTCTGGCCAAACTGATCTCCAGCAGCTTTATGGACAATAACAAAGTGACTTCTTGGACTGGAAAAGTTTAAGCTCAGTTTGACCTCAGAGCACACGATTGTTCCAAAACACATTACAGTGGATGTAAACTGCAACTGATTTCCTGGATGTTGTTCTCTAATGACAGTGTTGTAAGAAACATCATGTTAAACACTCCCTGTTAGCTTTTTGGCTTGTTGCTCTGTTACAGCGAGCGTGAGTGCAGCGTGAGCACCACTCGCTCCATATGAAACCAGTCTAAGTGGCTGCGATGGAGATGAGGTTGGATGTGTGTTTTCAGGGCTGCGTGATGTCCAACATGCTCTACAGAGGACGAGACAAGAAATTCTGCAGAGTGTCTGTGTTTGAAGCAGTCAGGTGATGTGGTTGGGCTTGTGGCTGAACAGAGGGGAGTGGCTAGGCCTCAGAGGTCCTCCTCCTGATCTCACCTATAAGATCTGCTCTGGAAATATCAACCTGTGGAGAGAAAAACAACCCCGTTGGTAAATGAACACACAACAGATAGAATTTGATTGTCAAAACTCTGGACTTTTAATTAAAAACTTATTTCTAAAGACTACAGCAAGTCCACCACCGCGGCGCGTCGGCCGAGGTGTACTGATGAAAGAGCCAGCTGCAGGCTACACTGTGTGTGTTCTGCGTCAACCGTACCTCCTCTCTGGTGGCCACGACGCGCAGCTTGACCACTCCATCTTTCAGCTCCTGTTCTCCCAGTATGGCCACCAGCGGGATCCCAGACTCCTCGCAGTGCTGCAGCTGACTCAGCAGTTTGGGGTTCTTCTTGTACATCACCTCCGCCTGGACACAGACACGCACAACAGATAAATATTTAACAGTCTCAGAGCATCTAAGAACAAAGCGGGATTCAGGAAGTCACCACCAAAATAAAGAACGGTTAATGTTGATTTTATACAGAACTCCACAATGTGGCAAGAACAGCCCTGCAATCCAGGAATTATACCCTCAGAGGTCTCAGAAACATCCTCAAGGCACAAAGTCTTTTTAAATAGTCGGTGAAATTCAGGACATTTTGATAGGCTGTTGCAGTTGTCAGATATTTATTTAGCATTCATGCATGATGCCTGCTGTTTGTTGATGGCGGTGCCCGTCGACCTGCTGACAGAACGCAGCACGGAAGCAGGTGAAATGTTTGATAATATCAGGGGCACTTCTCTAATACCGCTACCTTTAAAGGACCGGAGCGTTTTATCCTCGTCATTACTCATTACGTCATTAAAAAGTCAACCTCTCGTCTTTCTCCATTAAAAAAACAAATGTCTAGTTTTTCTATATTACTGATGTGTAACAAGCCAATTATAACAAATGGTCTTATCAACAGACTATATATTGTGTATTACACTGTAGGGTGAACAGTTGTATTTGAATTCATATTTATAAATCAGATTTCAAACTAACAAAGCAAAACTCAGCAGGTTTAGAGATCATTTGTGGCAACTGAAAATAAAATTATTAAAAAAACCATTTTCGTGCTGAAAAGTGAAGCTGCGGTACTCTTTTTTTTAAAGTCTTCATCATAGAACCATAAAGCTAATGTACTGCTGCAACACATAGAAAGGTAGTTGTAAGCTAGTTAACGCGAAGCTTTGCGCAAAAGATCGGCTTTTTAAAATCTGATATTTGTGGTCACATGACCTCCTCATAAATGTTCCCAGCTTTGAGAAATTTAAAGCAGGACATGTAAAAGATCTTCACTTGATTTTAACATTGTGACTGGAAGTGAACAGAAAAAAAGAGGAAATGGAAATAATGGCCGACAATTCAGAAACACACACACACACACACACACACACACACACACCTTAATGCCAGCGTTCCAGAGCTCAGTGAGGAGTTTGAGTCTCTCCTCCAGCAGGTTCTTCTGCGCAGACGCCACCATGACCTGAACCTCTGTGGTCCGAACCTTCTCTGCTGAGGCCTGAACAACACAACACTGTCAGCGTCTGGATATCTACACACACCTGTTATCAATACACCAATAAAACCGTTTCATTTCCGACACATTACCTCAGCCTTCTGCTCCATGATGGAAAAGATCCTCTCGATACCGATGCTGACGCCCACACATGGCACTTTCCTGCTCTTGGGGTCGAACATGCCCACCAGGCCGTCGTATCGACCCCCGCCGGCCACGCTGCCCACACTGACGCTCTCCTCTGCAGGTGCCCCGTTTTGGGCTTCAGTGGACACCGGGGCCACGCCCGCCTGAGTCAGAACCCCCTCATAAATGACTCCTGTGTAATAGTCCAGACCCCGGGCCAGACTGAGGTCAAACACCACCTGGAGATGACGGAGTGAGAAAAGTGGAGGAAAGAAAGAAAAAAGGAAACCGGAGTAGAACAGCAACATGGTGAAGAGAGAAGAAAAACACCACAGGGGAAAATGACAAAGTGTTAACATGCATCTAAATTTATTCTCTAATCATTACTGTAAGAAACAATATTCTGGGACGCGTGACTAACAGCAGGTCTCACCTTGTCTGTGACCTGGAAGAGCTGCAGGTAGCTGAAGAGCAGCTTTATGTCAGACAGGCCAGCACAGGCCTGCTTACTCTGAGACATCTTCTGGTCCTGAAGGAGGCGCTCTGCTAAGTCCATTCCACCTACAACATAAGCAGTAGCCTGTTTACACATCCAGCACACACAGCAAGTCCACTAATCGCTCTCTTGTTGCACCAGCTCCTGGGGGAAATATCTGGCTCTTTAGCTGCTAAATGCTGCACTGCGTTCACCAGCTGGTGTCTAACTGTGTCTGCTGCTTGCTGCAGAGCAGCCAGTGTACAGAAGCTTTAGAGCTTTATCACTGAACACAGCTGCTGGAAATGAGGTTGAGGAGTGTGGCTCTTCAGTATCAGAAAATAACAGGGCCTGAATGAACAATGGCCTTGACAATTTCTGAAAGCCAAAGCGGACTTTCTCAAATTGCTTGTTTAGCCCAACGAACAGCCCAAAATCAAAAGCTATTTAACAGCATCCATGCTTTGGAAAAGATATCCCTCTCTGAAGGACGCGTCAGTGGTGAAGCATTGTTTGTTTTATCTGTACAGACGCTGGACTGGTAACAGCTGAAAGCAAACTCTTAAGTTTGGAGTTTGACCTTTTTCGTCCTATAGGGAATGTTGTTTCTATGCTGCTGACAGAAAGCCTGTTCTGAGGACAGTGATAAATGCTTCGCTAGCATTACTCGCATCATGTGTGAACTTCGGGAAAGTCTCACCCTGCATACTGACGTACTCCCCAATCTGGTCGGCAGCCTCCTCCGACAGGCCCTTCTCATTCACCATCTCCTTCTTCACGTCCTCCCAGGGCATCTACGTTTGGACAGCAGAAAACGGCATGCGGAGATGGGTCACATCGGGCTAACCATAACCATCGTCTATGAAAGTGGCCTTCATAACAACAGAGCTGAGAGGCTCGGTGCGGGCACAGCAGCAGGTCTCCATACCTTGTCCAGTTTATCCACTGTTGAACAGATGGTGCGGAACTTGTCATCAGGAACACCGCACACGGCAAACATCCCGTCGAGGATGCGTCTGTCGTTGACCTGGAAACGGAGGACGCGGTTACAGAGATAACACCTACTGATCTTAGTCTGTAAGTTTCATCTGTCAATTTTTCTGAACAAAAAGGTGACAAACCTTGATACGGAAGTCTCCGAGGTCCAGCTCACTGAGGATTTCATGGACGATCTTCAGACACTCAGCATCTGGTATCATGGCGTCATACTGCCCTGCTATGTCAAAATCCTGAAACACGCACACATTCATTACTTTACGTAGCACAGACAGTTAAAATCACAAAGATGAATTCATCCAGATCAGTTTCCAAAAGCTCGAACAAATCTGCCAGTGTGGCCGTAGTGAAAACGTGTATTTGAGGCCGACTCACACACTGGTAAAACTCTCTGTAGCGTCCGCGGGTCATGGCCGGGTTATCACGCCGGTAGACCTTAGCAATGTGGTAGCGCTTGATGTTGGTTATCTTGTTCATCGCCAGGTAGCGGGCGAAGGGCACCTGTAAGAGTGCAGGTCAAGGACAACACACCGCTCTTTGCTTCGATGGAGGGGATCAAAGTTTAGGGGTTAATGTAGCCACACAAACAAAAACTCTGACAAAAAATTATTTGCTGTTTTTTTTTTCCATGACAAAAACGGGACGATAATAAAAACCTCTGAAATTACGAACTACGGTGTTATCTATTTCAATATTTCATGTGTGACATATGAATGAACGGACAAATAAATTGCTACTGTTTTAATGCAAACTCTCATTTAACCACCTACACTGTAGCTGCTGATTTGTCAAACAGTGTCCTCTGCCACCCACATTATCTTTAGTTCAGAAGTTGATTCAGCCATTTCACCTGTTGCACTCCCGTTAATCAGATTTATTTCTTTCATTTAAAACAGATTTATGGACTAAAGTCATCTACAATCCACTCACAATTAGACAAGCAGCTGCACCAAAACAGCTGGACAACCTATGAGAGCAGCAAAAGTAAGCTAACATTCCCACGGCCTGTGGATGTTCAGGTAATGTTACTTTCAGTCACGTATCTTTCCATCAGAAGGTGAGGACCTTGAAGGATTAATGTCGGCAGCCAACCATCAAAATGTTCCTCTAGATGTTCGCTCAAGAAATATCACTACGTTATCCAGGTTATCCAATGAGTGAACAGTATGTTAGTGAACGAGTGAGTGAATCAGCTTCTGAATGATAATGCTGCACTGCAGGGGACACAACAGGTATCTATGGTAACGCTAGTGCTAATGCTGTGTGAGCACGAACGACAGAGAAAGCGCTTTAGAGTTTATGATGGTACAGTAACTGGATTTGGTGTCAGTCTGAAGAGAGGGGTTGTTTTTTTTGGTTAGATGCTTTCAGAATTCTACTTGATGTTCCTGCTCAGCCAGCTGATGCTCATGGCGGTGAGTATTTAAAGGATACAGTGAGGTCATATCTGAGGGACAGCAGCTCTCCTCCTTGGTCTTTGAGGTCGTAGATGAGCTTGGAATCTTCTCCATACTTCCCTGTCAATGTTTCCTACGCGCCGCAGGGAGAGAGCAAACCTTCATGTTCGAGTTAAAAGTATGACATGTACTGAGCGGCAACCGTGATGACTTGCGTTCAAGCTTGTGTGAAACTCTTACCTTCAGCTCAAAAACAGGCGTGTCGATGGTCTCTGCTCCGTGGCGTTTGAAGCAGCTGATGATGGTGTTGAAGACTTTCTCTCTGATGGCCATCTGCTTGGGGTTGTAGTCCCTCGTTCCCTGACAGAGATAAGAGGTGTATGTCCATCAGCAGGGTTGGAGTGAATAAAGTGATTCAGTAGGAGTTTTAAGAATGTACTGTCCCACAAAAGATGATGTATAATAATGTAACATTATTTTTAACTTCTTAAGACTCATTGACTGCATAAACAGCACTTTTACATAACCCCATCTACAAACTGTGGTGTCTTTTAAATTGTGTTGTATTATATATCTTATTTAATGTTTAACTGTGTTACTTTGTACCTTGTGACGACCTGCCCGGGACTACTGATGGAAAATATTCTTTGGGGTAATTCTGGCATATTTACATTGCAGAAAAGCTAATATGTTCATTAACATGCACTTTCTCTTTTAAATAAATTAAAAAAAAAATAATTGTGCAAGGGGTCATGCTTTATAACTTTATAACATTTAAAATTAAAGCACATTTGATATGGTTTTCATACGTTTACATTATTATCATAAAGAGGTCATATTATGCTCCTTTTCAGGTTCATCATTTTATTTAGGGGTAGTACCAGAACAGGTTTACATGGTTTTTTCACATTGCTGCAGCTCCTCTTTTCATCCTGTGTTCAACCCTCGTTTTAGCTACAGAGTGATACATCTAACTTTTCTTTGTTGGGAGTTGCACATGCGCAGTACCTATTTAAGGACTTATAGCCAATCAGCTGTACATGTTGCCGACCAGCTTGGCAACATGGACTGGAGCAAGAGTTTCAGAGTGGTGAGTTATTAATCTGTAACAAAAGTCTCTTTCATCCATAAAGTTTTAACTGAGCTCTGTCTCTACATCACAGTAACAACTTTATGTCCACTGACTGCCTGGAGGGTAGCTAGTGTTTGGAAGGGAGAGGAGAGCTGTGTGCTGCAGCTCACTGTTTTTCCACCGCTGTTTTTGAGGGCATGTCTGACTAGCCGCTAGGCGAGCATTATGACTCGCATTTTTTGTGATGTCACATGGAAGCGGAAGTAAAGGCTGGACTACAAACGAGTTGTTTTCAGGCAGTTCAGAGCAGAGTTTTCTGTGGGAGATGGGAACTCCCTTTGGGCTGGACTTTTTCACTTTGCAAACCTGATAATTGCACAATAAAGGAGAGGGAAAAAAAACAAAAAGCAGAATACCACCTCTTTAATTTTATTTAGTTTATGCAAACAAAAAAGTGCTGCCAATTTTATTTGTGGTTTTCAAAATAAAACATGGTGAAATGGTTTCAGTGTGTGTATCAGTACTTTTTGAACATTTTAACACTACCATGATAATACTGATAACCATGATGATTTTGGTCACTCTGATAATGATGTGAAATTTTCAGAGAGTTTCATCTCTATTGTCTATTTAGTGGCCTGCATGTACTAAATGCTTGTGTGTGTGAATACAGCAGCGCTGTTGCCTTACCTTTGCTGTCTTGAGGACAAACTGATGTTTGCCATCATCTCCTCCTAACTGAGCCTTCAGCTCCAGCAGTTTGGCTACTTCTTCATCAATCTGCAGCACAAAGCAGGAGATAAACTTGTGAGCACTTAGTATAGAGGATTTATAACATAAACATTGTACATGTCAACATTAGCAAGCAAAACAGAGGACGTTTATTTACAGGAACTCTGCCAAACACACACAAACACACAGCAGCAGAGGCCTACCTGATCCACAGTGATGCCAGCGAAAGAACGCAGAGACGTTGCGGTCCGAAAGCCCACCAGACCACAGCGAGCACGAACACAAAACATGCCCAGCACGTTCATCCCACAGAACAGCGGGGGAAAAAGTCCGGAAGTTGAACAAGCAACAGTTCAGGAGTTCATCATGGGTACAGTAATGTCCAGTGGTAATGTCCACAGCAGCCAATCACCATGGTCAGTAGACAGAGAACCAGGAAGTGAGTTGAGTAACGATGACCAGGAGGGTTGGAGTCCCCAGACAGTCGGGTAGGTGATGGTGATGATGAAGGGTGAGGCAGGCCGAGGTCACCCGGGGTCAGGCAGGGAGAACAGGAGAAAAGTGGTAAGCAACCCTAGCACTAGGGGAGGGCGGGGCATGACGCATCATCATCATCATCATCACAGCGTGGAAGATAGAACATGAGATGTACCAAGTCAATCAAAGCAGCCAGCACAACCCAGCACCCCCACACACACACAGTCCTACTCTGATCCTAGTATCTAATCTAGGTGTCCAGTGTTTAGTGTTTCTAGTGTGTCTTGAATTTTAAAAGCTCCCGACATTTAAACCCCTGGTTAAGTGTGTCAGTTTTCCTAAAGTGTAGGTACGGCTGGGCGATATGGCCTAAATTGTTATCACGTTCATTATCAATAATCATCATTCAGTATTGATAATTATCAGGGTAAATGTCAAATCATTATTTCTTTCTAGTTTAAAAGCTGATTTTTGCTCCTGAGTGAAAGTTGAAGAAACCAGATGGTTTTATTTCTGGTCAGAACAAACACTTGATGCCAAACAGTGGATCACTTCACAAATCTGAGGCAGAACATTCAAATTCAAAACTATTATGATCAAATCTTTTTTCAACAAATATGATCAGTGAATCTTTTTTCAGTCCCTTTTCCTCAACAAAATAAATATCTTAATAGAAAAATTAAGTGCTAACTTGTTTGAGAGTCAAATTAATTTAATCAAACATTTATTGAACATTTGTTATATTGTTATAGAGGAAAATTATATTGCGATATTTATCATTGTTTTATTACCCAGCGCTAAGTGTAGGTGAATGATAATTTTCAAGAAGGAGAAATTGGACTTGTGTCTGCAGCCTCCAACTAAATCACAAATACATACTATGAGGCAATTTTACTTCTGACTGAGTGATCAAACCTCATGTGTTCATAGCACGGAGTACTGAAAACTGTCAAAGTTGGCACTGAATGTCAGATCATGTTGGCAGTCCTGTTTACTTCATTTTCAAGTTTTTCTGTTCTACTTATGTTAAGATCTTACGTAACACCTGAGGACGAGCTGCTGGACCTGCCACTCTCACTTCCAACACTACTGCTTGCACTGCCTATTTATGTCCAGAGGTTAGAACATGTGAGCCTAAACCTGCAGTCACTGGTGAAGTTGTGGTGGTACAAGCTCTGACAGACACTCACACCCTGACAAACAGCAGAGGATTCAGACCAAACACAACACAGACAAATAAAGGAGGACACAGAAAGAGCTTACAGAAAATAAGGTCAGAAAGGAGACGGACTGAGGCTGCTTTCTGTGGACTATTCAGCACCTTCACCGAGAAACAGGTGGCATAATAATTGAGGTTCTTTAATTTGATAGAACCTGTGTGACATCTGGTGTGGCATCAGACCACCGTTCTGATACTTGCACCAGAAGACGCCTGATTAGCTTAGCTAACATTATAAAACATCTGATAACTTCCGCCTGTGTTAATAAGGCAAGTTATTGCATCAGCAATCCGTTTTAGACTAAACGTTACATAGTTGTCTAAAAACGTCCTGGTAAGTAAAGTAACAAAATTGACAATATGTGATTTTTGAGCCGGTTGGCTGCTTTCTGTCAGCTCCACCTCACTCTGTTAGCGCTAGCTAGCTAGCTAGCCGGTAGCCAGCTAACTCACCAGAACGCAGAGGGTGCACGGGGCTGCTTAGCCGTTAACTTAAAGCTAGCAGTTAGCTGGTCCAGCTAAAATTGAACCACCGGTAGGAAACAAACAATCCCTTATACCTGTGTGATGCAAGCCAAACAGCCAGTTGCCTCCGCGCTTTGAGCTAACCGTTAACTTGTGTCCTAACGGTGGACCTAACTTAGAAAAACAGCAGCAAATTTAAATGTTGACTCACGTATCACTGCAGTACAACAAGTAGTGGTGTCTTCCACTATTACATGCTGTCAGTTAACGTTAGCTATAAAGAACAGTGGAATATTAAGTTAACGTCATGTTCTTCTTTTAAACAGCCGACATATTTTATAACGGGAGTTTTAATTTAATTTTAACAGGTAAACTTTAACGTCGTAGACATGACGTAAATTAACGTTATGCGGACAACAAACGTGACACATTAAAAGTGAGATAGTGATGTACTAAAGGCCGCAATAATTTGGCAAAAGAAAGATAAACGACGTTTATCAGTTAGCTCTGCAGTATGAATGAAGTTGGCTGGCTAACGTTAGCAAGCAAGCCTTCAGTTAAATGCCAGGACATGCTGTTCGCCGCATGCTAACTAGTTGCCTCAGTTTCAAAGCTGGATCGGAGTACTGACCTGCTCTTTGCTCGCCTTCTCTGACTTTAACTTCCGAACGACTTCACCCTGGATTTTAATCGCTTCTTGCACCTGTGCCTTCCCTTCCATGGCTTTTCATCCAATATATTTCCACCGCTACTCTCACTTCCAGCGACCCTGCAGCTGTCAAGTCTGTGGTGGAGAAAACCGGATCCGGAAACAAGAGAAACACTTCCTGTAGCAACAGGTGTGCAGCAGTATTTTCAGTCAATAGAAGAGCAGAAACACTCCTCCAGTACTGGACTGCAAGGTTGGAGATCTGTGACCACCTTCAACATTTAACAAAGTTTCTAAATGCTAAATACTAGTGGCTTTAGTCCAATGTTTATAAGTAAAATATGGGTACCAACTGAGACCATTACAATAAGAAAGCGAGCATAAATGGCGAGCTATGGTTAAAGTGTAGGTGGAGCAAAGGTAGATTAAAAGTAAAGAATGGAAGCACTTGATATATAAGTAAAGGAACACAGTGTATCCTTAATATTTAAAACATTAAATCAAAGACTTCATCATGCCTTCAAAAAGCAAACCTTAAACCAGGATCTGAGAGCTTGCACTAGTACAACAGAATTATAAAGGGGTTTCAAGATAAATATACAATTGAAAGGGGTCACTAGATTATTAAAAGGGATAAAGATTTTTTTATTTTCTATACATTTTTTATACCTTTATATTTTCTTTTTTTTAAAAAAGGTTATTTCCAATAAAATAATACAACAAGTATTTCTCAAATCATTGCTAATTTGACCAAATTGTTATTATAGGGCATAATGTATTTAAATAGCATCAAATGTCATTGTACAGAATCCACACATATGGGACTTTAAACTCTACAAACAAACTCTAAAAACATCTTCCTGTTCAAACATTGACTAAGGTAAGTTCACAACCAAAGTCCACTTAGCTGAGAGACCAGAGACCTGTCATTAACATGTCTGTGAGTATCATCATTACTTTATTTTGCAGCTCAATAGACACTATAAACTGTAAAGAATGCAACATTATGGGCGATGGAAAGGAACAACTACAATGTGAGGAGGTGTTAACAGTTTGTTGCACGATGTAGAACTTCAGAGCCGTTTCATTAGCTTTAGTGTCCTGTGATAGTTAAAGTCCTGAAGTTTCAGAGGCTTCTCCTCCAGGGAAGTGGGGATCATTTTCAGCTACTTGAATCAAAGAAGGACAGCACTGGGAGGTCTTTTGAGAGAACATTGTATGTTTATTTTCAATTTGCTGCTTTTGTCTTTTCCAAACTGTGAACTGAATATGTTGTGGGTTTTGGACTGTTGGTCTGACAAAACGACACCAGCTAGGGCTTTAAGGAATTGAGATGCGCTTTTTAAACTCTTTTCTAACATGTTATAGACCAATCTGGTAATTGATTGATGGGGAAAATAATTGTCAGATTGATCGAAAATGACAATAATCATTAGTTTCAGCCCCGATATCTCACCTCTCGTGAGTCTGGTTTTCGGGAGTGTTTGCATTGTAATTTACACGCTAAGCTATGTCATTTAACTTGGTGCTAGACTGATGCAAAACTATGTAGTTCATTTCCTGAGTGATCTGCTTCCACACATTGTTTTTCTTAATCAAGTCCTGATAGCATGTTAAAGTTCGTAAAACATTGGAGCGCTGAGGATGATAAGTTCTTTCTCTAATTTGTGTAAAGCTGCACCACTCACTATTTTTATATTATGACATACAACAAAGGTCTCTGGCCGGAATCAAACCATGTACATTGCATGGAAACATATTCCTGAGGGACTATTTACCTTCTAATATTCTACGTATCTCATAAGAGGATAGTCATAGGAACAAACTCTGCACCTCCCCACGGTGTAACATTGTAGGATCTTTTAGCCTATTGGTTCACGTCTCTGTTTGGTTCACTCTCTCTGCTCTCACCAGCTTTGTTTCCATAGGAGCTCCAGCTGTTTTCAGTGAAAAGGTTCTGCTAAAGTCTGAAGCTAAGAAGTGCAGACGTAGAAAACAATCCTGTGCTACTTTTTCCTGGGGGAATCACAAGCTGCTGTCTGTCACTCCTGCATGTCAGAGGACATTTGCATGAAGTTATGACTTTATCAACTCCTCCACATTGTGCTGCTGAGTCTTTGAGTGTTGGCAACCAGCACTAGTATGTCTGTAAAGGTTTTATTCACAATGAGTCATGTTAGTGATATACTAAAATTAACAATTCAGTTAATTTCAGTGGGTCTTTATTCGCATTGGGAAACAGACGTTTACATTGTCAAAGCAAGTGTGAAATTAAAAACAAGTACATAAACAGAATAATTGTGATTTTACACGCAATTACAGTTTTTCTCCATTGCTTAAACACTATAAGCAGACTTTTGAACTAAAATTTCAAAACCATAACTCCATTTTTCAAAAAGCACACCCATTTCTCTAAACTCTACACACAAATCCCTTCAGTTCTCATTGCCTACATTGAGAAAGCACTGACATTCAATATTGTTTGTTTTTTTTCAGCAAGATTGAATGGTTTTCATTTTGACCTGAAAACAGGATGTTTGGGGTACTGGATGAGAAGTTGTGGATTTGTGTTTAGAGTTTCAAGAATTTCAAAAAATGTGTTTAAGCAATCGAGAAAAACTGTAAAAGAAAAAAGAAAAAAAATCATTTTTATGAATGTAAATGTTATTGTATGTTATGTATTTCGACTGATATTTCAATTACGATATGATTTGCGATACTGGGGGAATGATCATTTTAACATCATTGTTCTCATTTTTATTGAAAAACATTAAAATGAACAGGGAACTGTTAACAAAGGTGTTTTCTTAATACAATGGACACAGAAATTTGACTTGATACAGCATGATAAAAATAAAGTAGAAAGTCACTAAAGTAAGTAAGTCAGTAAAAAGAGAAAATCAATAAGAATATCTATATACTTTCTACCTTAATATATACACAAGTTAATAATACTATATTCTTCACTGCAACATATTGCACAGTCTTTAATATGTCTATAATATGATGCGTAGGCCAGGACATCTCACCACAATATTTAATTTAAAATGGTATGTTGGCACACGCCTCCTGCGGTTTGAATATTGCAGAAGGCAATATTAGGATTTTGGACGGATTTAGGAAGACTTTGATTAATTATTCAGCTCTAGTGTGTGTGCTGTGTGTGTCCCTCAGGTTGTGGCATGTTGATACATATTGGGCAGCAAGAGATGCCTTCTCTCCTTCTCCTAGGAGTATTTTAATGTTGACAGCACATTGAGCTCTTTGAAATCTCTACATTTGAGAGTACATCAGTCTGTACTTCATTAGGATCTCTCTGCTTTCTATCTTTGACAGTAGAGAGCTATTTTGTCAGTTCATCGTCTCTTGTTATGGCCAGATAACATTCTGGTCTACTTGGGCTTCCCAATGTTCCTAACGGATTTCTTTACACTGAATCATTATTTGGTTTCCTCTGATTAGTGTTTGGAAAGCGGTGTTGTTGTGAGACTGGGCAGAGTGTGTCTGAGAGAGGGCAGTGAGTCTCAGCACCAGCTGACATAGGGGACTCTTTTCTGGGGTCAGCTCTTGAGTTTGGCGGGCTTTGGATTGGAGGGTGTCTAGGGGGCTGGATTTAAGATGATTAAAGCATTCCCCTTGTTCAGTAAAAGACAGTAGGACAAGGTCATCAGCATAAAACAGAGAGTCCAGTAGCTGTCTAGGAGGGAGAGGCCAGGAGCAACACTGATCCAACTGAACACCAAGTCCATTTGTGTAGACATTAAATAAAGTTGGACTCGAATATACTCTGGAGCGGACGCACACATGGACGCGGACTACTTCTGTTTATACTACTTTCTGGAGTCACCTTGGCGGACTCGTTCCACACACGCGCAGTAGATCGGTTGGTGCCCTGGTAGCGTATTCGCCATGTTTACACCATGTCTGTTAGTCCATTCACATCTCCAGTTCGAAGCGTGTTACCCAGGGAAAGTGGAGAAAATTTCTTTTTCAAAATAATGAGAATCTACTGTCACTTATGCCCAGGGTTTACCCAGTTTTACTGGTAAAGATCTCCTTTATACTACACCAAGATGTTTATTATACCCTGGAGGCAGCGAATATGGAGATTGACCTTGATAAACACACGTCATACAGACTCTGATATGATGACTGTTTTTGTCTACAGGGTCGAGTCAGCATGGAGCTGTCGCCCCCTCCCTCAGGTCTACAAGCAGAGTGTGAGACACTTTTCTCCAAGGACTCCCTTCTCTTCCTTCATGAGCTGATCTCCACATTTGATGAGATGGTGGACCAGGTAGGACAGCTAAAAGCACCCTTTTTATTTAATGCATGGAAGACTTGTTGACCTCAGGATGAGGCCTCTGCTCTACTCTATTCAGGTCCTGCGGTTGCGAGTGTCCAGAAAGGCCCACTTGGACCTTTCAGGTGACTTGCCAAGCTTTCTGCAAAGTACCACACATATCAGGACAGACCCAGCCTGGAGGGTGCTCCCTGTCCCCCCGAGGCTCCAGAGAAGACATGTGGATATTGGGGATCTTGCTCCCTGCGATACACAGCGCTTCATTAAAGCTCTCCAGTCACCAGCACAAGGCATACAGGTACCACCTCTGTCATTTACCTGTGACCATATGAGACCAAAAGTTAAAAAGGTTTAGGGGACAGTGAGAAAAATATAGAAGAACACCAGCCATCTCTTAAATATAATTTAATCTATTATGAATCATTTCATCTAAGGAAGGTAAAAATCAAGGACATTGATGACACTTGCAGACATTTCACCTCTCAGGCTTCTTCAGTTCTGCCTGACTGGCAGGAACTCAGCTATTTAACCTCTGTGAGGTCATTGACACGATGAACCGCTTGGTTCGTTAGTGCTCCTGACGACAACAGTCGTTATGGTTGTTGGAGACACCCGAAGCATTCTCTCATGAGGAAGGAACTTAACAAACATGAGTGTTTGTTAAGTTTCCTGGGAAGTGAAGAAAGGACAGCATTGTAAGGTGGGGATAAGTGGTGTTGTGGCCCTCCTCTCATGTTAGGCGATGGTCTCTCCACTCTGGTGAAAATGGCCTCCTTGAGTAGCTGCCCTTGATTTTAACCTTCCTTAGATAACTATGTCCGGGATGAGAACCTTCACAGACAAAAGCTCAAACCAGTTTTCCATACATACAGTACGAGTAGCACACGAGCTGTCACTGTAAGCAGTGATACGAACAGGTTTGCCATGCATTAGAGCAGGATAACATGTGTCCTGTGTTATCGCAGCCTTAACAAAAAGAAAATAGAAAAGCTAATAATAATGAGTAAAAGCTGCATTCATTTTTATTTGATGATATTTGAATGTTTTGGTTGCTTGGGGGCAGCTGAAGCATGCTGAAAACACAACATTGATTTATAATCACCTAATAAATAGAACCAAGATGGTGAACATGGTATTTATATTACTAAACATCAACATGTTAGCATTGTGATTGTGAGCATGTTAACATGCTAAATTAGCATTTAGCTGTAAGCACCACAGAGCCATTATCATGGCTGCAGACTCATTCAGACGCCTGTGTCTGAAACTCTACTTTTCCACTATATTTACTGCCTGCCATTTTATTTGTGTCTGAATTCTGTGTCTAAATGGATGCACTATAATCCTTAAAATTCCACAATGGAAGGAAAAAAGTAGTGTCCATCTCTGCTGGTACTTTTAAACTACAGTACCTTTCTCTGGTTTCGGCAGGTCGACTTTGATGATGGGAACTGCCCTACATATCGCAACCAGATCAAAGGCATTCATAATGTTTTTAAGGCGGTTCACAACCAGTTCCCCAGTAAGTGGTTCACTTTAAATTGATACTCATGTTGGTACAGCTACATTACTGTACATGGACAAGAATATGTGTGTGGATGGGATGCGCATGCGTGTGTGTGGAACAGAGTGAAACTGACAGGAGCACCTTCCTGCATCTTTTAACAGATGTTCCACACATATCTCAGGCTCCAGTGCTGATGCTTCGTCCTCGCGCCTGGAACATGGTGGAGCACAACATGATGGTAGTTCATTCAGTCACTGCAAGTTTGGATTCAAATGCAGCAGAAGTGGTTGATTTTGGAAAAAAAAAAGCTGTAGCCCTATAATGTGTTAAAGTGGACCTTTTATGCTTTCCCTTATTTTCTATGATATGCAAAATCAGATTGTAATGTGCGAACATTTAGAGTATTTACTGTAAAAGAGGGGTGGTTAGAGGGGCATCAGAGTCAGTGTTTCACTGATGAGGTTATTAGACGGAGTTTAAACTCTATATTTTATAAGCTGATTCAAGTATTTCCTGACATTTTACAAGCCTTTAGCCAGTAACATAACCAGTAAATCAAGGCTTCAGCAATTCTCCCCAAGCACTGTATTCCTGGTGGTGTGGAGAAGGCTTTGAAACAGAATTTAAAGTTTCATGTTGGAAAATACATTTTACAGAACGAACGTTATTAAGAAACCCTTATCTAAGGCTAGTGGGGGATTTGTTACTCTTGATCTCAGTATTAGCTACATTTCTGGTAGAAATTTAAACAGGACATTCACACTGCTTGTATTATTGGAGGAAACTAATATAAAACAATTGATTAATTGGACACTCAGTGAAGAGAGCATTAATCAGTGACAATTCTAATAATTGAGTGATCCTTTTTTCCACTAAAAAATACTAAACATTTACTGGTTCTTGTTGCTCCAATGTGAGGATTTACTGCTTTGTTATTTTTAGATTCATAGCAATGTAAATTGAATACATCAGACAAAATAAACAGTTTTCCAATATCAGTTTGGTGTAACTTGTTGTGGGCATTTGTCATAGTTTTTGACGTGTTAAAGGCTAAATTAGAAAATAGTCTATATACATCGAAAACATTCTCTGTTCTTCTGGGACGCTTGGTCAGGTGGAGGGGAAGGAGGCTCCGGGTCCTCTGTTTGACTTTGGACTCCTCATGTTTCACTGTGGAAAGACACTGTTTGAAAACAAGAGTGGGCCCTTTTTCTACCTCTCAAAGGTAACACACACTCACTCAAGCACACAGATGATTTGTGTATTTATGGATATTGTCAACATGAAGCTGATCCTCCTTGTTTTCCAGGTAGAGAGCTTCATGGAGGCCAGGCTGTGGAACAACATATTTGTCTGGACACAACAGAAGGTCTGCACATGTGTTTATGCACACATCTGTCATCTATTTTTCAGGTTGATGTTATGTTAATGAAACCTTATCTACCCTTATTTTCATTTTTATAATTTTTTTCCCAGTTTTCAACAAAATACAAAAAAACTAAAATTTTTGTTTTGAATGAGCAGATTAAACTGATTTTCACTGATTGTGAATACTGATTGTGTTACCATTATATACCATATATATATATGTCCGCATCTGCCTTTTCTTTTCTGTTTTTTTTACTTTTAATTTGGAATCACATAATAACAGAAGCATACACAGTCGTCTTAGTTGGATACCTTTACAGAGTGATCCATCTTTTCAGCTTTTTACAGTGTAATTACAGAACACAAAATGAAAATAAAAGTGCGTTTGAGCGAAATATACTTTACTACCACTTTCCACATCCCACAAATTTCCTCAAATTTAGTTTCCTGAAGTTTCTTGACAGCCCTCCTGAAGGTGGGGAGTCTGGCCATTCTGATGTCACATGTGTTTGACTTACCTTGGAGAGAGGGAATGGTCTGGACAATGAATTCACAAGTCTTTAGTCTTCAGATAGGAGTGTCCATTCCGTCTCTCTGGAAATGATATGAAAGGCAGACAGAGTTAAGTGTAGTAGCGGTGCACTGAGTTGTTAATGCTCTGCTTGTATCCTGTAAGTTGTAAGTTAATATGTTTTATAAGTGCTGCATGAATTGCAGTCAAGGCTTAATTTAGATGACACATTTCATACAGAGGGTGAATTCAAAATAGTAATTTCACTGACAAAATAGAGGGATACGGCGTCACCTGCAATGTTAAGAATGCAGATTACTGACCGCCGATACGAGTAATTTATGCAAAATGAAATTTTGTTGATGGGATGTCTAAGCTTGAATCTGATACAAATCCTACACTTTCGTTATCCTGGAGATTTTTTCGCAGATAAACTTAGTTTATCCGCCCCAAAAGAAAAAAGAACAAGCAGTTGTGAAAAGTTAAACATTTTGTGTCCAAATATTACAAGTTTATTCTATATTTGAAATTACAGCTGTATTTTATGGCTTTTTAAAAATCATTTTTTGTGTCCCTGATACAACTTTACATCTAACTGTACCTGAGCTTAGTCACAGGATACAGTCAGCGTGCAGACTCCCCCGATGTTCATAAGGTGCTTTTGCACCCCAAATTCTCTCACAACCCTCCAACACTCTTTAGGCCACACCTCCTCATTTACATGCATCTAGAAAAGCAAATGGGTCAAAGGCAAATGGAAAAGGGAGACTGATTTTCTTTTTTCATAAAGTTTCACTTTAGCATTTCTGCTGAAATGTGATACTGTTTCATTAATTTTGGTTCTTTTAACATTTATAATGACGATTATCTCCTGTAGTATTACTGTGGTATGATTCCACAATAATGTGTGAAATTAACTCTCACATTTTGTGAATCTGTGTGTGTGTGTCTAGCTGGGCCTACCACAGAGCAGCATCAAGGCGACGGTGCTCATTGAAAATGTATTAGCAGCATTTGAGATGGAGGAGATCCTCTACGAGCTGCGGGACCATTCAGCTGGACTCAACTGCGGCATCTGGGACTATTCAGCCTCCTTCGTCAATAAGTTTGGTGAGCCAGACATTCTTGCTTTTAGCTTCTCCTGACATCCCTATAAACCTTATTACATTATCATGAAAAACTATTTATAATAAGATAATTGTACAAATTGTACACAAAAGACACATTAAGTTGATGAAAGGTGAAAAGGGCAATCTCTGTCTGACTGAAGTCAAGAGGTCATGTGTTTCTCCTCTAGGTCACCGAAGGGCCTTCCTGCTGCCCGACCGCAGTAAATATGTCAACATGGAGAAGCGTTTTCTGCGCAGCTACATGGACCTGTTGGTTCAGACATGTCATCGGAGGGGAGCGCTGGCCACAGGAGGCATGGCTGCCCTGCTGCTGCCTCAGGACCCGCTCAGTGACTCCCACAGCAGAGTGCTGGCTACTGTCACCAGGTAGGAACATCACTGTTCACACACATACATGGTCATGAGACTGAACGGTAGAAAGCATTGCAGTGCAGAAAAAGTGAACTCGCTGATGAATTTACTGTGGCTGTGCAGAACCATCATGCTAGTCTCAGCCAATGAAAACCAGCATAGCCTTACACCCAGGCATGTGCCAACCTTCAGTGGGCAATAGGACAACAGGAGTCATTAGGCTGCACTGTCAATCACATGACATACAAGTTTACAAGCACAAAAATGTTAATATGGTAGGAGTTTGAGTTTAAAAATCTGAAGCCTGTCTTGAGGATGGCATTAAAGCGAGACTGTGCAACTTTTGAAAAAAGAAATTTTTTACTCCTATTAATGAAAAGTTGAATTCATAAGCACTATCACACGGTCTTTCCGTCAGGGGGTTTGCTGCTACAGCCTAACTTTGTCTGCTATGACCAGTAGCTTTTGTGCTGGCTAACGTTAGCTAAAGCTAACATACTGTACATGTTGCTGTGTAGCTGACAATAGTGAGTCAGTTTGCTGACTATAACTCTACTTGGTATTGCTTGATATTACAGATACAGAACAACAAGAAATCCCTGTTTTCTAAAAAGAAGTACTCTAATTAGTACCAAATTTAGTACTAATTATAGTAAAAATAGAGCTTTCCTTTGATGGAAATTCACATTTTCCCTGTAATTATACCACGTGGCACAGTTCTAGCCAGGAAACTTACCATTAGCAACTTGAAATGACGTGTCTTCTCTACTTGTGCTACTCTCACATTACATGTAGGCATTTACCATTATTCATTTAGTCAGTTCCATAGTTACTTGCTGGCCAAAGTGGCAGTTGAGCAGAAGTTACATAGTAGGGATGGGCGGACCATCTTCACAGTATCAGTTCTTTCGAGTTGATACGTTTAAATGTATCGAACCTTTAAATGTTTGATACTTGAAAATTGAAAATATTTCCCCACTATGATTTCCGTGGAACAAAAGAATTACATTTATTCAAGTACTGTACTTGAGATACTTTCCCTTCACTTTCTACTTCACTAAATTCCACAGGGAAATACTGGACGTTTCACCCAACTACATTTATTTGACAGCTATAGTTTGTACGTAAGTATTTGTAAGTTAAAGTAAAAAGAAAAAATGTTATGCTTTAGATAAAAGTGCTACATAAAATGCAGCCATTTAAATAGATTACACCAGCCCCATGTAAAATTTTAAGAATAGTTTATAGTTGCTAGCAGTTCCACCAAAGACACATTTAAACTTTATACTTTGAAAATAGTTTAATTTAGATAAATGATGGGTCCAAAAAGTAAAAATAAAAAATATGCATTTTACAAAAAAAACAGTAAAGATCTGAGAAAAGTCAGAAATGAATACTATATATTTTAGTATCAGAACTATCAGAAACGTTTTTTCCTCTCCTATTGATCTTCCCACAACCCTCAGATTTATCTGGGTATCCCTTTGGTTGGCCCCTAGGTTGGAAACCACTAGAATAATCTGTCAAGCTGTATATAATTATAATTTGTATAAAATAATTTGTATAAAAAGTTAAAGCTAGCACCATTATCACAGGTCCTGCATTGTTTTTTTTATTAAAATATGTCGACCGCTCTGACATTTGTTTCAGACTGAAGTTGCTGGAGATCCAGGCAGGTGTGGACGGTTTCATGGTGTATGATCTGAGCTTGATTGAGCCCATGCAGAAAGTAAGCAGTGGATCATTAGCCATACAAAGCTTTCTATAAATACAGTAAGTAATAATGACATATGTTTACTCTTCCAGCTCTTCAGGCTCCACGCTGAAGGAGATAACCAGCTTCACCGGCTTCGAAATGATGTTACTGTGACTCCTGATGACCTACTGTCTATGCCTTTGGTCAGTAATTCGGTTGTCCCAGAACTGAATAGCTGAAGACACCTGGCAAAGCTGTAACTTTTTAACATTACCAAGCAGTTCATCCAGATTTGGTGGTGGAGAATTCTGTCGCTCCAAAATCTCCCATAGGTGTCCAGTTAGGTCAAGAAATAAACTCTGCATTTTCATACATGTCATTATCAGATGTAAATGTATTACTGACTTTGATAGCTTTATGTAAAAGAACAGGATAAGCGGTTTAGTCTCTAATAGTAAAGTATATTTTGATGTATTCCTTAGGGAGGAGTCACCCTTTATGGTTTGAAGTATAACATTGCAGTTGGTGTCCTCTTTATTAATGCTTGGCTATCAGGTATGTACGATTACATATTCTTCTTCTCCTCATGTTTAGGAGCATGAAGTGAGGAAACTAAGTATTTTGCATTTTGTGTATGCTCTGCCTCCTAGGTAACGGCCACTTTTTCTACAGAGGCCAGGTGGAAGATTCAGCCACAGCAGAGATTTCCAGATCACAGGTGGGTTTAGGATTAAACGATACCACTTCAGCGTCCACCGAGTTTACATCACAGAGGATTCACTTTAGACATTCATCTAGGTCAGAATCAGATTCAGAATCAGAATCAGTTTTATTACCAGGTATGTGTACACATATGAGGGATTTGGCTCAGGATTGTACATTGCTCACGATGTGCTTACTCATACAATAATACAGTAACACAATAATAAAAAATAAAATAAAATCAGACACAGACTTCAGTGTAGACAACACAAATATACACACTATGAACAAAAACAATATAGACATTGACAAATAGTGCAGTGATGCAGGAGTATGTACTGTACATGTCGGAGGTGGATGTGATATACAGGGACACATACATGCATCCATGTACACAGTGCAATGAAGCATAGTGCAAAGGATGCTGGAATAATATTTTGTGCAGGAGAAATGACTTGAGGTAGGTGGGTTTGGTATACAGTATCTACAATATGACAATATAACAGTATGAACAGCACTGAAATAGAGAAGGATGAATAAATAAATAATAAGTGTTAGCCAGTAAACAGGTGGCTGATTAGAGGCAGAGTTACTGGGTTATTGCACAGGAATTGTTCCTGACACCGTGAGTCAGAAATCATCTGTTCATCAGAGTAATGGCTTGTGGCAAGAAACTGTTCCTGAGTCTGTTGGTTTTGGCGTACAGTGCTCTGTAGCGCCTACCAGAGGAGAGGAGCTGGAACAGATTGTGTCTGGGGTGAGATGGATCTGCAGTGATGTTTCCTGCCCGACTCTGGAAATGTATAAGTCCTGAATGGAGGGCAGGTTGGCACCGAAGATCTGCAGTCCTGACTGTCCGTTGTAGTCTGCTCCTGTCCTTTTTGGTGGCAGATCCAAACCAGACAGTGATGAAAGTGCAGAGAACAGACTGGATGATGGCTGTGGAGAACTAGATCAGCAGCTTCTCAGGCAGGTTGAGCTTCCTGAGCTGGCGCAGGAAGTACATCCTCTGCTGAGCCTTCATCTCCACAGTTTTGAGCGTGTTAAGCTCCAGGTTGTTGTGACCGCACCAGAGAGCCAGCTGATCAACCTCCCGTCTGTAGTCCGATGACCGTTGTGTCGTCAGCAAACTTCAGGAGTTTGACAGATGGGTCTCTTGAGGTGCAGTTGTTGGTGTAGAGGGAGAAGAGCAGGGGGGAGAGCACACACCCCTGGGGGGCGGCAGTGCTGATAGTCCGGGTGCTGGAGGTGATGTTCCCCAGCCTCACACAAGTTTGTGAAGTTTGTGATCCACTGACAGGTGGAGGCCGGCACAGTGAGCTGGGTGAGTTTGGTGCTGAGGATGTTCGGGATGAAGGTGTTGAACGCCACAAACAGGATCCTCGTCTATGTCCCTGGAGTGTTGAGGTGTTGCAGGATGTAATGCAGTCCAGTAGGGGGTCCAGCAAGAGGCCTGTAATGTCCTTCAGGTGGGCCAACACCAGTCTTTCAAAGGACTTCGTGACTACAGATGTCAGGGCGACGGGCCTGTAGTAATTTAGTCCAGAGATGGAGGGTTTTTTTGGGACCGGGATGACTGTGGAGCGTTTGAAGCAGGAGGGAACTTCACACAGCTGATTTGTTGAAGATCTGTGTGAAGATGGGGGCCAGCTGGTCCGCACAGATTTTCACATCGTCTTCACAAATCATGAGTGCAGGTGAGGGGTGGGGGCAGCGTGTCAGAGGGGGAAGGTGGTTGTTTGAAGATGGTGTTGGAGTGGGGGAGAGGTGTGACTCTGGGCTTTTCAAACCTACAGTAGAAACCATTCAGCTCGTCTGCCAGTCGTTGAGTACCAGCAGTGTTGGGGGATGGTCTCTTGTAGTTTGTGAGTGTCCGCAGGCCTCTCCACACTGACGCAGGGTCGTTGGCTGCAAAGCTGATATTTAGCTTTTCAGCGTAACACATCTTTGCAGCTTTGATCTCCTTAGTTAGAGTGTTCCTGGCCTGGTTGTACAGGACTCTGTCCCCCCTTCTGAAGGCCTCCTCTTTGGTCTGACGAAGCTGCCTGAGTTTCGCTGTGAACCAGGGTTTTTGGTTGTTGTATGTGCGGAAGGTTTTAGTCGGCACACACATGTCCTACAAAAACTGATGTAAGATGTCACAGTGTCAGTTAGTTCATGCAGGTCAGTGGCTGCAGCCTCAAAAACACTCCAGTCAGTGCAGTCAAATCAGGCCTGTAACTCCAGCTTTGACTCGTTGGTCCATCTTTTCACAGTCTTTACAACAGGTTTAGCAGATTTCAGTTTTTGCCTGTGTGTCAGGATAAGATGAACCAGACAGTGATCAGAGAGTCCCGAGTCTGCACGGGGAACAGAGCGATAGGCGTCCTTTAATGTTGTGTAGCAGTGGTCCAGTGTGTTAGTGTCCCTGGTGGGACACTAAATATGCTGTCTGTACTTTGGGAGTTCCTGGCTGAGGTTTGCTATGTTGAAGTCTCCAAGAACAATGAGCAGGGAGTCTGGATGTTTTTTCTCCACGTTAGTTATCTGGTCGGCCAGGTTTAGTAACTCCTCACTAACACAGGTCTGAGGTGGCATGTAAACAGCGACCAGGACGAACGAGGAAAACTCACGCGGTGAATAAAACAGTTTACAGTTTATGAATAATGTCTCTAAGTGAGGGCTGCATGATTTCTTCAACACTGTGACATCTGTGCACCAACCTTCGTTTATGTAGAAACAGAGTCCGCCTCCCCGTGTTTTTCCCGTGAGCTCCCGAGTTAGTACTGTTGAGGAGAAGCAGTTCATCCTTTTTGTTGGCTAGATGACGGACATTCGCCAGGTGAATTGAAGGGAGCGCAGTGCGAAAACCCTGCTGACCAGTGTTTGCTCCGGGAAAGTTCCGCGTTCGTTAAGGAGCGGTGGAATAGTATGAGCAGTTGAAAGTCCAATATTTAAGAGCTCTTCTCTGGTAAATGTTACCAGAGAGGGACAGCAGAAAACAGAATTAATAAACAAAAACACAAAAACCTTTACAGAGTGTAATCCAGAGGCTGCCGTCTGCGGCGCCATCTTAGTGTCTCTGATTCTGAAACACCTTCCAAAAATATTAACTTTTGTCTCATCAGTCCACAAAGTATTTTCCCCAAAGTCTTGGGGATCATCAAGATGTTTTCTGGCAAAACTTAGACGAGCCTTAATGTTCTTTTTGCTCAGTAGTGGTTTTCGTCTTGGATCTCTGCCATGTAGGCCATTTTTGCCCAGTCTCTGTCTTATGGTCTTAGCTAAATCAGACAACCTTAAAACCACACTCCCTTATTTTGTTACAGCTGTAACTTACTATAAAGAAGCACGAAGAGAGCGTATACTTCCTGAATCCTATACTTTTAAATTTTATTACTAGAAAATGTAACTATGTTTTAATAGCAAAATAACAGTCTGTTCATGTACATGTTTTTATTTCACACTTGCTTTGGCAATGTCTGTTTCCTTGGCCAATAAACTCCACTGAATAAACTCCACAGAATTGAATTGAAATATGCCCCTAGATCCAGATGTGCATCTGTATAGTGCAGGTGGTGCAGTGGCATTGGTATATGGTGAAATAAAATATACAAAGAAATATTAGAGCTTTGCACAAAAATTATTTTAATGTGAGTCAGACTCATGAGTATCGTACATTTACCATGTGGCTCTAGCACCATCTGCAGTGGAGGAACCCTCGGCTGGCCCAATTGTCCTCCGGTCCTCTCACACACTGTTAAATTCCTTTCAATAAAACACTGTAATCTCCAATCCAAAAACACAGTCCATGTGAACCCAAGATGATCCCAGGGAGCAACCTCATTGCAAGGCCCACCTTTCTAAGCTCCTCCAGGGTCAACTTTTGATGCCATTATTTTCTTTCTTAATTTATCAAAACTGACTCTGCCTGCAAACAATGTTGTATTTAGAGATTATAATAAATATAATAAAAGCTTTATTGCCATGTTGTTTGCATCAGTCTATTAGATATATTATTTGCAGTAAGCACCCCTATATTAGAGAGGCAGTGGGGCTAAATGCTGATTAACAAAATCCTTTATGTCAAAACTGATCTGTATTTCAGCTATGATAAGTAGAAAATAAGTCCAACACATTTGCTAATGCACTACTCGTACTACTAATTCCCTTTTCAGACAGCAGCATTTGACGCCTGTGTACTCAAAGTGCATTAAATCTATGTTGGACCCATTCATATGAGACTGCTGTCACCTTGCCTGTCACTGTTAGCAGTCTCCAGTCTGCACTGTAGTTCATACACTCCACTCATAAACCACAAAATAGCACAGAATTATAGTGAATAATTTTACTATTTTCACACTATTTCTCTTTTTTCAGCAAGTCACTTAAAGGTTCAGTGTGTAAGTTTTAGTGGCATCTAATGGTGACGGTTGCGAATTGCATCCAACGGTGCATTCAGATGGTCCCATTTCCCAAGTTGTGAAGTCGTTCTTCTGACTTCAATGTGTTCATGTGCTCTTATGTCAGAATGTGGAATCAACATGGACACTACTACAAAGATGTATTGGATTAGCATTATCAGAGCAATTTAATTTCTAAATTCAACAACAAAAAGGCTGTGAAAACCTCTTTTAATATCTTTATATTATATAGACCCCCGGGCAAAGTTCTTATTCTTTGTGTCTTCTTATATATTTGTGTATTGTTCTGTATACTTCTTTATGTCCCATGTACACGTTTTACCTTTTTTTGCATTAAAGATTTTATTATTCTGACGCCACATTAATGCACCATCAGTTGCTCACCCCTCCCTTTGCAAGCGTGCAGGAGAAGATACGGTGGCCGACACGTTCTGCCCGCGGCGTATGTAGAAATGTCTCATTCAAAGGTATTAAAAACATAATGGTGTAATAATGGGGTATAATGGGGTATACGCGTTTACAGCCATGGTAGAGGCACAGCACACCTTGAGCTAAATGTAACATGAGCAGACAATGCTAACATGCTGACGTTTACCAAATGGTGGTACTATCTGCACCAAAAACCTATCATTTGTTTTCTGGCCTATGGCTAAATGCCAAAAAACTGAGGCCAATTGTTATGTACCAAATGACATCTGGTGTTTTTGAAATATGTTGCTAACTACCAAAACACGACAGAAGGTTCTGGGTTCAAACCCACTGGGCAGCGGGGGCCTTTCTGTGTGGAGTTTGCAGGTTCTCCCTGTATCGGTGTGGGTTTACTTGACAGTAGCCTGGAAACATAAGCAAACAACCCACCAATGTCATCAGATCTTGATTGAAATGTTGCCAAAAGGTGTACAGAAATATGTGATTTCATGTTTTTCAAACTGAGCTCTTCAAATCGGTGAGCACAGACAGAAACCTAGACAGAGAAGAAATGTGACATAACCAAACCAAACATTTGGTTGTTCATGTAGGACAGTATTGCTAAGAGTAAGTAGCAAATTTACAGGGCTTTTAATTGAGTTTGTGTTAATACTGTTATTTAATGTACACATTATAGTATAAAATAGGGTATGTGTTATTGTTAACCAGAATTGTAGCGCCTTAATGATCCTCAAAGATGAACAATTGACCAAATGCTGTGTGTTTGTGTGTGTTAGGTATGGCAGTGGATCCGTCATCAGACCCAGCTGGAGGACGATGGCAGGGTGGTGAGCAGGCGGCTGGTGACTGACCTCACCAACGAGGTTATGATGGAGCTCAGCTCTCTCTGTCACTCTGTTAGGTAAGGAGACACTCCTTTTGAGACGCGTCCGTTGAGCAATCAGGACATGTGTCCAAGGTAGATCACTGGCTCCAGTGACATTAACAAGACCACCGGATTTTGTGTTTTTGATCTGATCATTATTTCCGATCATTATTTAGCAGCTGTTTATGAAAATCATTTGGTAACGTATAGCCTACTTGTCAGCGCGGGTATTTTCCACGATTAACAGGTTCAAATCTGTTAAAAAAGGAGGGCTCCCTTTACCCTGTCAGTTCATAAAACATTTGTGACAGTGATACCACAGTATAGGCTAGTGGTGTAGTACTCGACCGCATTTGTACTCGGTCTTGTCTCGGTCTCTGACATTGGGGATTTTATTTCAAGACCAGTCAAGAACGTAACTTAATATAATATCAATAAATTGCTTTTGTATTGTCTGATTTTTTTTTTACATCCTAACTTTGATGGGATGTAAAACGTTATTGCTTCAAATGCAACCAATAACCCTAAATAAAAATGTGTTTTTCCCGTTAACGGCTGTCCCCCCTCCCCGTGATGGTAAACATGTGTTCAATAAAGATGGTTAAGTTGATTTCAGCTCTTAGTGTTTCTATGTGGGCGGATCTTTCAGATCAGTTTGAGAAGTACCTATGATCTCGTTCCACATTTTATTGTGTGTCATGTGGGGAACTGGTCTTGGTCTTGACTCTGTCTCACCCTCCCTCGGTCTTCGTCTTGACTTGGTCTCAGCCCCTAAAAGTCTTGGTCTTGTCTCGGCCTGCACATGCCCTGTTTCTAAGTTCTGCAACACAATCTGATGGACTGATGAGAACGAGATTAATCTCTAGCAAAGTGATGGAAAGGCCAAAGTGTGGAGAAAGAAAGGAACTGCTTATGATCCGAAGCATCCAAGCTCATCTGTGAAGCATGCTGGAGGTCATGTCATGGTTTGGGCGTGCATGGCTGCTTCTGGAACAGGCTCAGTAATATTTATTGATGATGGAACTGATGATGTTAGCAGCAGAATGAATTCAGAAGTGGACAGAAACATTTTGTCTGCCAGTTTATGGAGAAATGCATTGAAACTAAGGGGGAGGAAGTTTATCATGCAGCAGGACAATGAGCCAAAGCACAACAACAAAACAAAGGACTTCATCAGGGGAAAAAGTGGAAGTTTTAGACTGGCCAAGTCAATCACCTGACCTTAACCCAACAGAGCTGCATTCACCTTCTTAAGAGGAGACTGAAGGGAGAAACACCCCGAAACAAACAAGAACTGAAAGAAGCTGCGGTAAAAGCCTGGAATAGCATCACAAATGAAGAATGCAACAGTTTGGTGATGTCAATGGGTCGCAGGCTTGAGGCGGTTATTGCAAGCAAGGGTTATGCCACCAAATATTAAACGTTATTTACTTTAACATTTTTTGTTCCATTACATTTGCTCACCTAAGAATGCTGTGGTCTAATACAAACAGTGATATGTCCTGAGTTGTTTAAAACATCTAGATGTATATACCAGGAAATGAGAGCTGAAATTCTGAACTCTTGTCTTATCTTTTGATCTTAAACTCAAATGTCTTCAGTGAACAACAACAACAAAGGGATTTGCCTCACCGTTCCAACACTTTTGGAGGGGACTGTAGATGTTCATTCACAATAACTTTAGGAGCAATAAACAACACTCCCAAACTGTTAGTGATGACAAAAAAACAAGGAAAAAGAGATACTAAGTAAAACATCCTGAGATGATGAGAAAGCCAACATTTTGACATACCTCATAGTTCTGATTACCATGAATCATTTTTGTTTCCCTGTTGGCAGCGGGCTTCTCTAGTTGTTTTTATCACTGGAACACAAGTGGAAACTGATGATTCTGTCAAAGTGCACTGTGGTTCAGGTCTTGTGTCTCTCTTCTTCAGGGATAAACAGATGTTGCACACAGCAGCAGCCATGTTCCTGGAGGTGGTCCTAAAGAGAGATTTCCCAGAGTTCATCACCACCTACTTGAATCAGGACCACACATTTCTCAGCTCCCAGACCTCTGGACTGGAGGCCCTTGAGGTTCTGGACACACACATGCCCCAATCCAAACTGTAAAGGTCTGATGTGGGAGATTGCTTCCTGTTCTCTGCTCACCACAGGTTGGCCTTTTAGAAATTGCAATAAACATTTTTCATTCTTTTTTTTATAGAGATTTAATCAGTTAGTTAAAGAAAATACGATTAATCGCTAATGAAAATAGTTAGCATCAGTAAATAATGTTACTGTAGGTCACAACCAGTTTAAAATAAATTGCAGATATTTTCTACCTCCACTTTCCGTTAAATGTATTCATCCATTTTAATAAATCAGCTTGCCTTGCTTTATGTTTAGAATGAAACGCATGCCATCCTGCTGTTTGGGCTGTGAATTGTAACAACATCTGTTGATTTGCTGGCAAACTGACTGAAATGATTGTAGACACGCTGTGCCAGAGGTTATCATGTTTAGAGTGAAAATACATGATCAATCAGTCATTGGATAAAAACCCAAACGAGTGTAGAAAGGCGACCAATGATAAACCAACCATTAGTAAATGCACTGAATCTATCTGAACTGACGAAGCCGTGATTATAGCGTCAGACAAAATGTATGAACATTTGAAAATCTTGGCCAAATACATTAGAAATGCATTAATAGTGAAACCAGGGGACATGTAGAAGGGACCTTAAAGTTAGCTTAAAGAGGGAAATTCAAGTACCAGTCAGCAGCTGAGAGGCTTTCAGGAATCAGGAGTGAAAGATTTTACGACTCCTTAGAACGATTAGACCTATACAGAAGAGAGATCCTCATTCTGACCGAACGCTAACTTACTTTACTACTTACTTTACTCTGAGGCACGGCTCGGACGCATTTGGTCCCACGGAGAATGTAGGTTATCTGATGTGTTTGTGGAGCAGTGCCGTTTTCAGGCGTCACTTGTCCCACGTGGTGGACTTCAGCTCCAATCTGCTGTCTCGGCTCCTGTCGCTCTCAGCGGGCCCCGTGGTGCTGAGGTTGGTGGAATTCTATTTGCAGAGTTGTGAAATTTTTGTCAGAGTATTTCAAACTGCTGTGCAGTGTTTTGGCATGATACGCCGCCTTCAAACCCGTGGATCTATTACTCAAACTGGACTTCATGTCTCACTGGTACCTGGAGGTTTTGTATTTAAAAACTTTTCCAGTGTTGCCTAGACATGTGAACGACATCATCTCAGTGTGAAGGGGCCAGTGGGAGAAGCTCTAACACACATGTGCAGTGGGCCTCACAAGGTGAAAACAAACAAGGACGCAGTAAAACCTTTTTGGCTTATATGCCTTGCAAGTAGTTAACTGTGGTAACTGTGAAGGAATTAAAGGGTAATAAAGTAAGCCAAAGGTGACTCTCTAAAACAGTCGGTCAGGCTCTGTCTGTCTGCCTGTCTGTCTGTCTGTTTGGTTGGCTGACGGACACAGCTGCCTTGATAAGGCTGAACTCTATCTGGTCTATCCCCAGGTCAAGATTGTCTTTATTTTGTTTCATTACAGACTGACGAACTGGCTCTCTGTAGAAAGCGTTGCGCGACTTATGTTAACATAAGTAAGCACAGTGTCTTGGTTTGAACCAATGTCCAATAGGAGGCGGGGATAATACTGTGTTCTCACTTTGTTACCATTCTTCCCGGCCGGGCTTCAATAAACAATGCTGTGTGAGACATCCTGGGATTCCTAAAACCTTTTTTAATAGGAGTTGACTAGCTCCCAACAAGTTCCATCACAGTCACCATCCATCCATCGTCAACCGCTTATCCTGCGTACAGGGACGCGGGGTACAGGGTGCTGTGAGGCACACAGCGCTATCCACTGCACCACCGCGCCTCCCTCACAGTAACCAGTTCCTGAAATCCATCCATGATGTGAACAGTTCAGCGAGGTCCTCAGTGATGTGCACACAAGGGACCTTAAAACCGCTGACCCTTTTCAGCCTTAGTTCAGTAGATGCGTATAGAATTATGGCCGCTCTCCTGTAAGCAATTGCATACTTTATATACACTCACCAGCCACTTTATTAGGTACTCCTTGCTAGTATGAGGTTGGACCCCCTTTTGCCTTCAGAACTTCCTACATTTTGGTGGCATACATTCAACAAGGTGTTGGAAACATTCTGCAGAGAGCATCACACAGTTTGTGAGGGGCTCTGTTGGACTGAGATCTGGCAACTGTGGAGGCCATTGCAGTGAAGAAGAAACCAGTTTCCAGCATTATCCTGCTGGAAGTTGCCATCAGAAGATGGTACACTGTGGTCATACTGGGATGGACATGGTCAGCAACAAGACTCAGGTAGGCTGTTCAAATGGTATTAAGGGCCCCAATGTGTGCCAAGAACCACTACATTTGCATTTATTCATATAGCTGACGCTTTTATCCAAAGCGACTTACAATTGCTATACATGTCAGAGGTCACACGCAACGAGGGGTTAAGTGTCTTGCTCAGGGACACATTGGTGCATGGGTTGAACCTGGGGAGTTGAACCCGGGTCTCTCACACCACCGACAGGCATCTTATCCATCACCACCCCACTACCAGCCTGAACCGTTGATGGTGAATAAAGGCTTAAGCGTGTAACACTAGAAGGCAGGGCAGGGCTCCTGCCTGGATCCCACTGCTCTGATCTCTCATGTGTTTTTGCCATTTATTTGTTATCTTGACTGATGTGCAGAAATGAACTCATGGCACCAATAAAAAAAACAAAGGCTTGGGAGAGAAGACAAATCCTGCCTACTTCCAAACCTGGCACACCTCGCCAACCACTGCTTGAAGTAGGCGTGCTTACCGATTGTCAGATTGATTTTAAAGTTAGGGGGAGCTCAAGAAGCTTCACCAGTTTCTAGAAGAGAAACAGGAAGCCAGGATGGCTGCACTGTGGAAGAGGATCAGAAGAGTCAGATGATGGAGGCTCTGAGCAGAGACATAGCAGGAGGAGCCGAAAGCTGAGGACAGGGTTCCTTCACAGTTTCCATTTTAAAATTCCACTCCAGACTCAAATTTCCAGACATCTCGGTAGATTATTCAGACCATAGCAGACATCTGACTATAATTAGCTAGATGTTTATGTAAATAAATGATTTTTAATTCCAACTGTTAACATTGATGTTACATTCTCACTATAGATGCTATTATGCTGCCAAAATGCTAGAATTTTGTAACTATGTAATATAACTCGTACAAATCAATTCAGTGGCCGCTCAGCCCACACTCCTCCACAAAGATGGACACCATCAAACATCTCTGCCCAAACAGGAAGTAAACTGGTGCTACCTGTACTCCTATTTTCCCTTAATATATTGAGTAAATAATATGACAGTATAGTGTTTTATTTTTCCCCAAATGTTTGTCTTTTTTATAAATAAGTAAAAAAAATAAAGTTAACTATTTTCACGGTCTCTGTGCAGCCTTGTTTGTTCTGTATCCAGCCTGCCATAAAGGTAGGGTTTCCTTACCCGGAAGGTCTGTTCATTTTTCTGATTTCACTGCATAACTCATAAATGTTCAGACACACAAAATATTTGATGATTTGTGAATATAACCAAATGAATGTAACTAAATACATACTGCCGCATTTTCTTTCAAACTAATTTGGTTGCAGATGTCAGAATTTGGTAGTTATAAGTTACATGTGACACGCAGGCGTACAGCACTGACTGTATAGTGTAAAGGCAGCTCTGCAAGAGTGTGCATGGTACAGTCGCAGGCCATACTTCATGCCTTGCTTTTTGACGACCTCAAGTTCGCCCTGGCCCTCGCTCTCTCAAAGAGCTGGCTGCCTGCTCCAAACAGCATGAAAAACACTGTTCAGTTTATCTTTAGATACATTACCATATTTTAGATAACAGAATGGAGGCAATAGTCTGGAAACACAAACGCTTTCATACTGTGTAGGAACCCTGTGAAGACGTCTCAGTCCTGCAAACCACTACAAGGCTGCAGTCCAGCAGCGCCCCCTGCTGGATGAGCCAGCTGCTCTCAGGAGAACTGGGACACAGGTGGACACTGCTGATTCCCCATGCAACAAATATTCTGTCGTAGCTGCACTGCGGCTCAGGTGTTCAGGTCATGTCTTCTTCAGGGTCAAACAGAAGAGGAGCAAACACACAGGGATCAGTATGAAGTTTTCCTGTCTGGTCTGTTTTTTTTGGCAAACAGCAGTTCACACTCTGAACACTCCCTCAACACCACCACCACTATCACAATGGTACCGTTTGGTTTTGCAAACATTGTTTTATTAATCCATGTGTCAGTTTGTAATATATAAATTACTTTTAAAAACGTGAGAAGCAGATGCACCTTCAAGAAGGACATGGCATGAAAACACAGGAGTTATAGAAAACCTAGACTGTGTTTACAGAAGCCATCTCAGCCAGCCAATGTCCACTTTTCCCAAAATCCTTTTGCCTCCCCATATTGTATTTATCTGTTTTTTTACAAGTACAGAACAACTGTGGACAGGGCCTTTTTTATTGTTTAAAAAAGTTAAATGGGCATCGCCTTCCTCCAGGTGCCAGCTCCCTTTCCTGTGGCGCTCAGTCCAACCAGATCAGTGCAATGTGGGGGCGACTCACAGCAGCCATAGCCCAGGGACCGGAGGGGGGGTTGGGGAAATGGGTGTGTTGGCGGACTAAGGCGTCTGGCGGCGTGTCGCACCTCCCCCTCCATTCTTGTCAGAGCTCACATTTCGTTTGCCATGTCGTCGTGCTCTCCCGCCGAAAGGTCGCCGTTGGCACTGATTGTGGTGCTGTTGTCTTGGTAACCGGGAGGCATGAAGGCCAGACTATAGGGGTAGATCTTGTGGCAGACGGCTCGATAAGCCTCAGCAGCCTTCTGCTGGCCCTCGCCCAGCTGCCCGTCACGCAAAGCCTCCAGCACCTCAGTACAGATCTGCAACACCAACACACACAGTGTATCTGAGTGATTGTGGACACGTTCTAGACAAAGACCACGGGGGTGTGTGATGTCTGGTTCTGCAGTTGTTGCTAAATCACCACATACCTGGATGCTTCTCCCGGACAGTGACTCATCCAGGGCTGTAGCTATCTCACAGGCCATCTTATCAGAGGAAGGCTCCAGGTAGACCATCATCTTAGCAGCTGGGAACACCAGAGACACACCTTGTTTCAAAACAACTGCTCCTTTCAGACATGCACCTCGTTACACAACTGTTCACGTTGGTCTCAGCAGCCACTTTTACAGAAAAGTCAACAGCAGCAATTTTACTAGGTGGGCCCTACTAGCATTTCTTTAACACCTTCACCACAGTGAAAATAATTGCTGTCATGTTAGTGTAAAGGCTGCTGCAGCGCAAGGGTAAATACACAAGTGTTGCTCTGTGTTCATAAAAAGAAAAGGCAAACAATATCAATTCAATATCAGTGCAGCAGAAACACCGATACATATATCACAGTATGATTATTAAATTTGCTGCCAACTAATTTAATAAAATCGATTTTTGTCGACTACCTTAGTTGCTGTTACGATTACTTGTAGCACCCCTACTATTCATTAGTCTCTGTATCCTAAACTGTTCACTTCCCGCTAAATAAGGTGTCCCACAAGGATCGGTTCTGGGTCCTCTGCTTTTTATCATCTATATAAACAATGTCTGCAATAAGATTAAACATTCACAGTATTATCAGTATACTGATGATACAATTTCGCGTTCTTGTGCCCCCACACCTGAAATTACCTGTGCAAATTTGCAGTTAGACGGTTTGCTCTATTTCACCTGAAACTACTTTTAAATGCACAAAAGACTAAGGCGATGATATTTGCTCCTAGTAATACTAAGGTCCGAGATGTCGCCATTAACACCCTGCAATATGTAACCATTAAGAGTATCTGGCTGGATAAAAGCTTTACCTTTCAAAAACACATTGAAGCTCTTGCAAAAACACTTAAATTTACACTTAAATTTACCCTGGCCCTTTTATATAGATTAAAATCTTTGTTTTTTTAGATCTACACGTATAAAAACTTGCTGCAGGATTTTCATTCATCAATATGCATGTCCATCTACATTGTCAAAGCTAGACCCTCTTTATCATGCGGCTCTCAGGTTCATTACAAATGCTGGCTATCAGACGCATCACTGCACCCTTTACAGAATGGTAAATTATGGCCAATTTACCAATTTACACTTAGCACACGCAGGATGCTACACACTGGTACATTTTCATTTAAAACGCCATTATTGGTCTTTTGCCTTCTTACATCTGTTGAAAGTTTTCTCCCATGCAAAGCACATATAATTTAAGATCTGTTGCTGGACTGCTTTGCAAAGTACCCAACATGAGGACAAAACTGGCCAAGAGGAGTCTGTCTTACTACGGCTCTCGTCCTGGATCTCCAGTCTCACCTTAAGATTGGCATACCAATTTCTATAGCTGCATTCAAAAAAAAGAATATCCGACAGTCTAACATGCACTCGTTTTAAAAATTTTTTGACCAATTGTACTTACATATCTACATTTGATCTCCTCATTCACTTTCATTTATGCATTTATTACTCATTGTATTTTGGCTATGTAAATATTTTTACAAATTGTGTTAATTCGCATCACTGTATTTTAATCTTGTATTGTGTAGTGTAATGTATTTCAACTTATGGTTGAAAAATTGTTTATTTGTGATATACAGGACTTCCTTGTAAAAGAGACTGTGTCTCCACGGGACTTTCCTGCAAAAATACTGAGACAAAACTGAAGCTTATTGTTGACCCTTTTGTGCATGCCAGCTGACAATTGCATGCGTGTTGCCGTTTCTTGTGAGCAGCCGCTAACTGTGGCAGACGTTGCACAGTATATACTGTGAGTTTTTCAAAGCATGGTAATCAAAAATTTGTACGGAATAATTAGCTGTTGGGAATTTTACCATGCTCTATCATTACACCGGTAACCGCTTAATCCCGCATACATCATTCTGCACAGCAACGTCAGCAACGTCTGAGTGAAGCAGCAATTAGACAAAGATAGTTGTGAGTGGAGTTGGACTTTAACAGAGATGATGATCTGAGTGTCAGTGTGTGTGTGTGTGTGTGTGTGAGTGTGTGCGTGTTGCGTACCAGCCAGTCGGTGTGGGATAGAGTTGGAGTGTTGGCTCAGGTAGTTTTTGTTGAAGCTCTGAGGGTTGCTCTCCCCAAACAGCCTGGAGATCTCCTGCTTCAACACCGTCCTCACTGCCTCCGCCAGGTCCGCACTCTCACTCACTATACACACAAAAAATATAAGCTTTAAAAATCTTAACCCAAACTGAGCCAAGTCAACCTACTGAGAAAGTGAATCCAAGTTAGACGGACAGTGTGTGGTTTCAGTCTATTGAACCCACGATACGGCACTCCTGACTGAAAGCGGTTTCACACCTGCCCCGGTACTACGCAGCAAACATCAGCTCAGTGTGGGTGATACTGACCTCCTTTGAAGAAGCGCACTAGACACTGGTGCAGCCAGGGGTTGGGAGGGTCTATGGCTACAGCCCTCTTTACGGACTGCAGCATCAGCAGGTACTTCTCTGCAGGAATGAAACAGAACAGAGGGAACTGTTGAAACCAGTGTGTGAAACGTGGTTAAAGTGCATGCTAACGGCATCAGTCTGACCTTTCCTGAAGTAGATCTCAAAGGCCAGCAGGTGAGTCTCGATGTTGTTGCGGACCAGGTTCTTCAGAGGGATCAGGAACTTCACAGCTTCTTCCAGAGGATTCTCCGGCTGGTAAAAGAAGCGAACCAGGTCCCGTTACTAATCTGTAAGAATTCTACCCCTCACAGCACAGCTGCAAACCCTTCTGGCGCGCTGAAAGAGCTGCTAAGTGTGAGCCCACCTTGGCAAGTTTGTCTGGTATTAGCTCCTCTTTCGGCCCTCCTATCTCCTCGTCGTCATCCTCCTTCTTCTTCTTCTGGTTCTTTAGCTGTTTCTCCTTCTCTGCATTCTTCTTCTCCTCTTCTAATTGGGCCTTCTTCTGGGCTCTGCGCTGTTTGTTACGCAGTTTCTTTAACTCCTTGTCTGTCAGGTTCTCTGCAGAGCAAAACGGTAAACAGTGTTTTTACTGTTGCAGGAAAGAAGGAACAACAGGAACTAAAGCAGGAACTAGAAAGTCCCTTTTGCTCTCTCTCTCCTCTTTTCTGCCACCTCTCTATTTTCAGCTATCTTATAAAAGCATACAATGCTCAGCAACAAAAAAATCATTTTCACACATGAGGAAAGAACTGTGCACAATCATAATTGGACACGTCGTGTTTGCTGTTATATGACTCTGATGACAGGAGACCTGCAGAAGTGGAACAGGAGACTGAAAAGACCACACGTGTTGCCTGGCTGAATGTTTAATGGTTATTTATTTCTGCTTTACTTAGCGCAGCTGTTTTAGACTCGTCAGGAAGCCGACCACAAAGCTT